GGTTTATAGATCAATGTCAATCACTGAACTACACTGGCCAGGCCGAAATATGTAATTTTTTTAAATATATTTTATTGATTTTTAACAGAGAGAAAGGGAGAGGGACAGAGAGCTAGAAACGTCGATGAGAGAGAAACATCGACCAGCTGCCTCTTGCACCCCCCCCCTACCGGGAATGTGCCCGCAACCAAGGTACATGCCCTTGACCGGAATCGAAGCTGGGACCTTTCAGTCCGCAGACCAACGCTCTACCACTGAGCCAAACCGGCTTCGGCCGAAATATGTAATTTTTAAAAGTTATACACAACCTCACTTTGAAAAAAATATGGGGGAGGAGGGGAATGTTACCATGTGTAGACAATATATGGGATCTAGTGTCAGAATGCCAGAGTTCAAATTCCAGCTCTACCGATTATATATAGCTCAGTGATCTTAGGTGAGATGTGTAACCTTTTAAACCTCATTTTCCTCAGCTATAAAATGTGAATTATATTTACCTCACCAGATTGTTGTAAAGATTAAATGACATTATCTACAATCATTGATCATTAAAAATTATTTCTCTTTATATTTTTTATTTTTTCTAAAATTTCTACAATGAAAACATATTATACTTCATTAAGCAGCAAAAAAAAAAAAAAAAAAAGTCCATTAAGAAGAAAGTACCTTTTCCTCTAATTAAATAACGTAAGACTGAACTCAAGCAATTAACCATTGAATAAGGCAGTTAAAAATGATCTTTAAATAAGTATGATTAAATAGTGAAACTGAGTAAGGGACACCGTGCCAGCTTCTCCCTGGGAGGTCCTTTACTCAGAACAAAGTCCACCATCTATCTTGAATGATTTAGGCCATTCCAACTTCCTGTAGTGCCTCCCTGACCTTGAACAGGTTGCCAGACCTCTCACAAAGCCTCAATTTTCCTCACTTGAAAGGAATGATATATTACTTCCCTGGGAGTTGTGAGGATTTAACGATAAAATGTGTAAAGTAAACACACTGATAGCAAAAGAAAGCACTTAATGTTAGCTAAAATCTATCATTATCATCATCATCATCATCATCATTATTCTTTGGCTGAATGAGACATCTTGAGCTCCTACTCCAGCAATGAAAATACATTCATTTTTCCAAACCACAGTTCAATAGTGTTTTCATTATTTTCTTTCTTTTTTTAAATATATTTTATTGATTTTTAACAGAGAGAAAGGGAGAAAGAGAGCTAGAAACGTCGATGAGAGAGAAACATCGACCAGCTGACTTTTGCACACCCCCTACTGGAGATGTGCCTGCAACCAAGGTACATGCCCTTGACCGGAATCGAACCTGGGACCTTTCAGTCCGCAGACTGACGCTCTACCACTGAGCCAAACCAACTTCGGCTGTTTTCATTATTTTCCAATCAATTATATCTTCAAAGAGCTACTTCATTATAAAACTGTCAAGGCCATAAGGCTAAAAAGAGGCAAGTTTGTCTCCACTGTAAGTAGTTTAGATTCACAAAAGTAAATTATATCACATTTGGATTCTTTTATTTTCTAATTTTCTTTTTTATTTTATTGATTAAGGTATTACATATGTGTCCTTATCCCTCATTGCCCCCCACTCTCGCTGCCCTCCCTCCCCCCTGATGTCTGTATCCATTGGTTATGCTTGTATGCATGCATACAAGTCCTTTGGTTGATCTCTCCTCCTTACTCTCACTCTCCCCTGCCTTCCTCTGAGATTTATAATGAACAACATAAACTGATGAACAAAAACAGATTCAGAGACAGAGAAGCATCAATCAGACCGTCACATCTGAATTCTTAATTAACTAGTAAGCCAATTCAGGTAGGGTTTCCTCTACATAGTTAATATCTTTGTGTGTATATACGCTAGTATACACATGAGTAAGTCTTATGTTTAAATATATCAACTCCATCAACCACTACCAACAATATGTAGGTCAAGGCTTTCCACCTGATAAAATTAGATCAGAATCAGATTTAGAAAAGCCTAAGGATCACCCCGTCTGATCCTTTCATTTTACGAATGGAATTAGGAAATGTAGTTAACTGGTGAACAAGGAAAACATTCAAATGCTAATCTTCTTCAGGAATTAGTCCTAAAAGGAACACATACTAAACCTCAGTTTAAACTTTTAAAAATGACACCAATTTTTAGTTCAGTTAAAAGTGTTACTATTACTACCACATTTAAAGTGTAAGTGGAAGCTTTCTTTCTCACTTTCAAGCTGAATCCACAGTTTTTAATTATTTCAAGGTATCTGTTTATTACAGAGAAGGGGGAGGAGAAAATCATGGGTCAGGCTGACGGGCCAGTAAGCCAGGTCAAGTGGAACAGGGAAACTGAGACAGACAGCTGAACAAACTGGCAGAGCAATTTACAGCAGATACAGACGGTCACCTCCCTGGAAATAACATCTAGGACTCAGCAATATCTCAGCTCCAGATCCAGAGAAGCAGCAAAACCAGATGGATGACACTAGGACAAGCTGCAATGATAATGATGCCCTGCCCTGACACTGGCCCATCAGGGGAGACCACCATCCTGGACGAGCACACCTAGAATGTTCTACTGAACCACCCCCCCCTGGGGCTTCCCCTAAGATCCCCACCTGCACGAGAGACCAAGCCTCAAGACAGAGGACCCCAAGCACTCTCTCTCTCTCTTTCCCCTTTCTCCTCTTCTCCCCTCTCTTCTTCCCCCATAGGCATGTACCTCCTAAACTCTGGGGGAGCCCACAAGAGGTGCCACCTGGGGAGTGGTGGGCAGGGGCAGTTCTAGGCAGACTAGTCCCCTGAACCTGTCCCCAAGACCCCTTTTCGCCAACTTCCCGGAGAGCCGAGGCAGCCCAGCCTAAGCTCTCCAGTTTCTTCTGCTATGTGAAGCCCTTTCTTGTTTTACTGTCCTCGGCGTTAGTGAATGTTCCCTCATCGTCACCTGGACTTGTATTGTGAAATTTTTCCTGCATGAAGTCAAGAATCCACATACTACCGGCTGGCCCTAGGCAGACCCACCAATGGCCAGTTCCCCGTTAACAAGATACAAAGAGCTATCTGACATCTAGTAATGAATAGTAATTTGTGTTTAAAAAAAAAAAAAAAAGAATCAAAGCGTGTACATGCACAGTATTATACTATTATGAGAATACTTTTCTTCTTCATATAAACATTTTTAAAGAAAACATAAATGGCCCAGTCAGTGTGGCTCAATGGTTGAGCATCAACCTATGAACCAGGAAGTTACGGTTTGACTGCTGGTGAGGACACATGTGGTAGGCTAGATCCCCAGTGTAGGGCATGCAGCAGGCAGCCAATCAATGATTCTCTTTCATTACTGATGTTTCTCTCTCTCTCTCTCTCTCTCTCTCACTCCCTTCCTCTCTGAAATCAACAAAAATATATTTTTTTTAAAAACACATAAATGGCCAATGAACCTATGAAAATATGCTCAACTTCACTCATTAAAATAAATAAAAATTAAAGCAATAAAATAACGAAATTACCATCAAATTTGCAAGAATTTAAGTCATTATGATTGAAAAAAGATTGTCCTTGGAATGTTGCCTTTAATGATTCTCTAATTTAAACACTGCTGACAATCATTCCCAGTCACAGCACGTTAGCGTTCATACATGAATATGTGTCTACATTTATATAAAAACTTTAAAAATAAGAGGGAAATAGATATATTTTTACATTGTTCATCAACATGTAACTTCTAGAAAGAGAAATTTGACTAATAAGTGCACATATCCTTTGATCCAGCAATTCAACTTACAGCTGACTCCCACATAGGAGAATTATCATAGGGACTAGGATACACACTGCAGCTCTGCTTATAGAAGTAAAAAAAAGTAACAATCTGAATTCCATTAATTGATTGGCTATAAGTATGGTAAATCCATAAAATGGTAGACTCATAAATTTATGGTAGACCATGCAGCCATTAAATAAATGAAAACTATATAAATATTAATATGGAAAGATCTCTAAATAATAAATCTACATGTTATGTAAAGCACCATTAGTTTTTAAATTTATATGTATGAACATATATACTATTCACCTATTATATGTATGAGCATATATGCTATTCACCTATATATGCTATCAACCTATGAACCAGGAAGTTACGGTTTGACTGCTGGTGAGGACACATGTGGTAGGCTAGATCCCCAGTGTAGGGCATGCAGCAGGCAGCCAATCATGCATGAGCATATATGCTATTCACTCTATTTCCTTTTATGTATTTCAATTTCATGCATGAGCATATATGCTATTCACTCTATTTCCTTTTATGTATTTCAATTTCATTCTATTTACATGTATTATTTTTTTAAATATATATTTTATTGATTTTTCACAGAGAGGAAGAGAGAGGGATAGAGAGTTAGAAATATCAATGAAAGAGAAACATCGACCAGCTGCCTCTGCACCCCCCCCACCGGAGATGTGCCCGCAACCAATGTACATGCCCCTGACCGGAATCGAACCCGGGACTCTTCAGTCCACAGACCCAATGCTCTATCCACCGAGCCAAACCAGTTTCAGCGCACATATTATTTTTTTCATTTTTGTTTATTGATTGGAGAAACCAATTTTGTTTCACTTATTTATGCATCCATTGGTTGACTATTATAGGTGCCCTGATCATGGATCAAACCTGCAACCTTGGCTCGTTGGGATGACACTCTAACCAACTGAGCTACCAGGCCAGGGCTAAAACAAAACTCTTAAAATGTTTATTTTAAATTTAGATATCTCACTTACTGTGTACTCCAAATGAGGTAACTTTAAATTTTCCTTCACTGACAGTTTTTAAATTTAAGAATCGTAACATCAGCTATTCCAAGGAAAAGCCTTTCTTCACGCCTAGTGACAGCATCATCAACATCAGTTCCAGCACAATTAAAACCCTAAAGCGCACTTCCAAGCAGAAACGTGGCTTGCTCACACTGCAGTAGAATTAGAGTGGTAAGACTCAGACCTTACCTGACCAGGTCGCCATGAAGCTGTAAATAAAGACTTTCCCTTCCCTCTCCAGCACATATTTCTGATGCTGGAGTCTCGACTGTGCAAAGGACAAGATGTAAGTCAGAGGAGGAGGCGGCGGCGGAGGAGGCAGCGGAGGTGGCGGTTGTAGTGGCAGTGGTCGTGTCTGCTCCATAAAGGTAAACACAGCCTCTCTTCACATCTTCTCTCAGCCAGTCTCTTTCTCGAGAACCAAACCTACTTCTCCTATTCAAACAATTTCTGCTCCCATTGCGTTTCATATTTCTCTAAAAAAAAAAAAAACATGAGAAAAAATATCAGCTAAAATGAGTTCAACATGTTTAGTCCTCACCCCACTTTCCAAGCTATAGTCACCAATACTCTGATCAACTGAATATTATCTCCTCTCAACTTACACAGCCTTTAGCATATGCCATGCTTATTCTTAACCTGGCAAACTTAGTGCTCGTTTAATATTTTTAGAGCTATATTTATTTTTAGACAGGGGAAGGGAGAAAGGGGGGGCAAGAGGGAAAAGCACCAGTTGCCTCCCGCGTTCACCCAGACCAGAGATTGAACCCACAACCTGGGTATGTGTCCTGACTGGGAATTGAACCTGCCACGATTTGGTGTATGGGATGACACTCCAACCAAGAAGCCACACTGGCCAGGGCCAAGCTTAGCTTTCTTTATTGTTATAGCAGTTCATGTCTGTCCATCAACTTTTCCAACCCTTTCTATTTTCTTATGTTTTCAGAAAAATATCAAGAATAATAAAACATCCGTGTACCTACTACCCAATTTTCACAAATTTTAATATTTTGTCTTATTTAGTTCTAAAAGAACTCTAAAGAATCTGTAATAATAAAAGCATAATATGCTAATTAGACTGAACATCTTTCCAGACAAAGCTGGGGCTGTAGCCCCGGGATTGAGGCAGCTGCAAGCTGCGGCTGCAAGGGAGAGATGCATGCAAGCCACCACAGCTACAAGGGAGAAACCCAGGAGCCACCACAACTGGGAAGGCCTATTCTTGCATGAATTTTGAGCATCAGGCCTCAGTGTTTATATTGAGCCAAACCAGCTATATATGTGTGTGTGTGTGTGTGTGTGTGTGTGTGTGTGTGTGTGTATCCTATATAATAAAAGCCTAATATGCAAATTGACCAAAAGGCAGAATGACAGTTGCCATGATGCAAAATGACCACCAGGGTGCAGATGCTCAATGCAGGAGCTGCCCCCTAGTGGTCAGTGCACTCCCACAGGGGGAGCACCACTCAGCCAGAAGCCAGGCTCATAACTGGTGAGTACAGCAGCAGTGGCAGGAGCCTCTCCTGCCTCCACGGCAATGGCAGTGCTAAGGAGCAGTGAGCCAAACAGTAAGGAGCTGCAAGCAGGTGGGCAGTAAGGAGCAAGGGATCCCGGACTGCGAAAGAGAACAGGCTGGGCTGAGGGGACACCCCCCCTGCAGTGCACAAATTTCATGCACCAGGCCTCTAGTGTGTGTGTGTGTGTATGTGTGTGTGTGTGTGTGTTTACAGTAAGAATAAGATGCAAATTGACCATACCTTCACAATGCCCACCAGCCAGTCAGAAGTGAGTATGCAAATTAACCCAACAAAGATGGTGGGTTAATGTGCATACACAGGCACTGAGCAGCCAGGGTGAGACACTTGCATCATTGCCATGGTGACAATGCAGGCATTCCACACCACCCCAGCCACTCCGGGTCTCTGGGCACTGGGGGAAGGCAGAAAGGCAGCTCCAGGCCGGAGCAAAGGCAGTGCCAGCAGCCAGGATAAAGATGGCTCATTCTTCCCATTCTTGCACAAATCTTCATGCATAGGGTCTCTAATATATATATGTGTGTGTGTGTACATATATATACTATATATTCTTATATATACTGCTGAAGCCACCTGGTACCCTATCCCAATCCCATGCCCCTTTCTCTCTCCCTGAAACACTCTACTTCTGTATTTGGTATTTATCATTATATTAATTTTTTAAAATATGTTTATTGATTTCAGAGAAGAAAAAAGAGGAAAAAAAAGACAGAAACATCCATGATAGAATCATGGTGGATCGGCTGCTTCCTGCAAGTCCCCCCCTGGGGATTGAGCTCACAACCTGGGTATGTACCCTTGACCAGAATCAAACCTTGGGGCTTTCAGTTAGCAGGCCAACACTCTCTCCACTGAGCCAAACCAGCTCGGGCTCATTGTGTTCATTTTCACAGATGTTTGCCATATATGTATATCGTATAAACTATATGTAGTTTGTTTTACATAATTTAAAACTTTAAATCCTAGCTTATGTTTTGCCCAGTAATATTTTAATTAGGTTCAATGTTGGTTTACATATATCCACGCTAATACACCTAGCTCATTCATTTGATAATATATCATTTTTTAATACACTGCAATTTATCCATTCTCTTGCTGATGGCATTTAGTTTGTTTCTAATTTTCCCCTATTGGAAACAATGCTGCAAGAAACATTTTTGCAAACTGCAAGTTTCTCTAGGGTCCTAACCCTGTGTGTTATATCCCAAATAATCAAGTACAGAATCAACAAGTATTCTCACAAATATTGTTTCCTTTCTCATGTTACAAAAAAAACCTACTGTTGCATTAATGCAGGCATGTGAAATTCATACACATTGTGGAGCCACTGTTATCTGGAGGCAAAAACAATTGCTACAGCTATGTAACAGGATTGTAAAGATCAACATTTCCCTGTTCTATTTTTACAATAAGCCGTTTCTGTTCCCTTTTAAAGAAATGTCCACTAACTATACTGACATATCTCTCTGGTGTCATGCCTTTCACTTTCAGGAATATCCAACAACCTGTAACTCCCCATATACACCAACTAATCCACAATTCTATGACTTGTCTGAAATGTTTGCTTCAGCTTGTCCACCTAACTAGCATTTCATTTAAAATTCTATGCAAATGCCACCCTTTCTACACTCTTTTGAAACCTTCCATGTCTCCCATCTCCATTTTCCTCCTCCCAGGTAGAATTAACTTCCTACCGTGTTTCCCCGAAAATAAAACATCCTCCGAAAATAAGACCTACTTATAGGTTTCCTTCTGAGTGAAATTAAGGCATCCCCCTGAAAATAAGGCCCCCCCCTAGGCTGTCTCAGAATGAAAATTAATTTACCATAAACTGGTAGCTAGAGCCACACAAGCAGTTATAAGGAAGTGGGTCGAATTAATGCTGCCACTTGTTATGTGAGGGAGCCAAAGAAGTCTGCTAGTCTGGAAGAAATGCAGCCAGCACTCACCTCGCTAAAGACATGAAGACATTTCTTCACGAAAGAAAAATAGATCAGATAATGATTCCCGCAGGAATGACGGCCTATCTCCAGACTCTTGATATTGCAATAAACAAGCCATTCAAAGACAATTTGTACATGGAAATTAATGACTACATTGAAAACAGAATGGAAAGAAATCAGCGTGGAAACTTTGTGAAACCTAACTGCAGGAAGTTGTGACTTGGGTGAAGAATTCATGGGAGAAAATCACTGACAGTTGCATTGCAAATGCACTGCGAGCAGGCTACCTTGACAAGAAGTACTCATTTAAAGATAGTGCTATTGCTAAACATGAGAGATTTGGTCCACTGATTTTGAAAGAAATGGAGTCACAAGAAATTCACCAGGAAATTCAGGAATTGGATTGTTATGATGATGTTCCAGATGATGACATGATTGTCATTGAATAAATGAGTAAATTCTTAATACTGTAGGATTCACAGTTTGTCTGGTTTGTGTTGACAACTACCATACTACCATACCGTATACAGGTAATAAATTTCCTTTATTTTCATTTAACCAATAAATGTGTACCGTATTCTTCATGGAAAAATAAGACATCCCCTGAAAATAAGACCTAGCGCATCTTTGGGAACAAAAATTAATATGACACTGTCTTATTTTCGGGGAAACAGGGTAGTAGAAGGAATTAATGACTACTCTCTACTTAGCAGAATTTCACCTTGAGCATACTTCCATTTCTATGCAGATTTCAATGGGTTTTAAGGATTTATTTGATATTTCTTCTTTTCTTCTACACTGATAATCTATTATTAGTGCCTTCACACCTGAGTGGCACAGAAATGCATACAAAACTGGGCTGACATCACAGAAATGTATTCCCAGTTTGCACATTAGCCCAATCAGCTCTGGCATGAAGTTAAACAAACATGGAAGGCAACAAATCCATATTTATAGAGAAACTTATAATCTTTTCTTTGTATCAGCCAAAAAGTAAATAAAATACTTTCACTATTATTCCTCACTGGAAAACAGCAATACCTATAAATAAAGCAAGTTTTTGTTTGTTTGTTTGTTTTTTAAGAGAGAGGAAGGGAGAAGAGAGGTGAGAGAAACATCAGTGGGTTGCCTCCCGCCTCCCATGAGCACATGGACTGGGGATGGAACATGAAACTTAGGTATGTGCACTGACTAGGAATCAAATGCACCACCTTTTGGTGTACAGGATGACACTCCAACCAACTGAGCCACACTGGCCAGGACAAAACAAATACTATTTTTTATAATTACTGAGATTAATATTTTAAGGTAATTTTAGCACCTAAAATTCAATTTCTATCCTCTTGGATAAAGAGGAACAAAAACTTAGAAGGTATTCCCAAGTGGGAAGAAGATAAAACAAGATTGAGAATGGCTTCATTGTTTACGTTTAGGAAAACAAAGGTAAATTGGTTATTTTGCAGATCTTAGGGATTTGAGTATAGCTATTCAAAACCTGAAGATTATTACTAATTCTGACTTTAGATAAGTAGGATAAACCTCTGCAACAAGTGGGAACTGGGTCTCTCTTCTCATCAAGAGCATTTTCGTAAAGCAGAATATCTCAGAATTAATATCTTAAGTATTTATTTTATAGAACAGGAGCCATCATATTTGTACCACTAAATAATGCTAACCATTGAATAATTCACAGGTTAATTTGAAATATTCTTTATTTTTTAATCTTTGGGAAAGATCAACTGGTCCATCTGGAAACAGTATTCTATGTGGTATGTTCATACAAAGAAGTTTGGCACTCAGTGGAGAGAAATTTTGCTCACTACTATTAAAAGAGGGCAAGTAGACACTATTCCACACAAGCATCAAAAAGCTTTAAAAAAAAAAAAATGTTTTTAAGCCCAATAATAGTCCACCAACCTTCTGTCTAAAGAAAGTCAAGAAAGACCCCAGGAAATATTCTATTAGTTCGCTCAAGATTTTTCTTCTGGCCAAGACCGGTTTGGCTCAGTGGATAGAGCGTCGGCCTGCGGACTGAAGGGTCCCAGGTTCGATTCCGGTCAAGGGCATGTACTATGGTTGCGGGCACGTCTCCGGTAGGGGGTGTGCAAGAGGTGGCTGATCGATGATTCTCTCTCATCGATGTTTCTAACTCTCTATCCCTCTCTTCTCCTCTCTGTAAAAAATCAATAAAATATTTTTTTTTTTAAAGATTTTTCTTCTGTGAGGATCTTCAATGTGTATATATATTTCCTTTAAAACTATAAATTCCTTAAGGAACTTTACATTTTTTAAGAGGATTTTTTAAAAAATTGATTTCAGAGAAGGGAGAAATAGAAACATCAATGATAAAAGAGAATAACTGATCAGGTGCCACCTGCACACCCCCACTAGGGATCAAGCCTGCAACCTGGGCATGTGCCCTTAACTGGAATCGAACCTGGGACTCTTCAGTCCACAGGTGGACGCTCTATCCACTTAAGCCAAATCAGCTAGGGTTTTAAGAGGATATTTTAAATTAATTCCTTAACATCATTCTTTTATTATTATTATTATTTTTATTTCAGGGAGGAATAGAGAGGGAGAAATAGAAACATCAATGATAGAAAAACATCATTGACAGCTGCCTCCTGTACATCCCCAACCAGGGATTGAGCACAAAACTTTGCCAGGGCATATGCACTGACTGGGAATTGAACTGGTGAACTGTTGGTTTCTAGGTTGATGCTCAACCATTGAGCTACACCGGCCTAGCAGGAACTTTACATTATTGAAATATATGTGTTATTGGTCAAAGAATGTATCTCCTTAGACCTAGATACTAAGAAAGCACAGGCCTTCTAGCAACAATCTAGATCAGGGGTGGGGAACATCCAGCCCACAGGCCATATAAGGCCCAAGAAATCATTTGGTCTGGCCCTGCCAAGGCATTAAGGTGAGTTAATTAAATATTTAATTTTTTTAATTGTTTGAAGGATTACAAATAGTAGTACATATGTCTACTTTCCCCGCCCCTTAATCTTTCCCCAACCTCCCTTACCCCCCTCCCCCATATGCCTTCACCTCCCCCCATGTCTTGTATCCATTGGTTATATATATATGCATGCATGTAAGTCCTTTGGTTAAAAAAAAAAAATGTTTCATATAGCAGGCTAATTTTTTAAGTTGACATTTTTAAAAAGATATATTTTATTGATTTTTTTTACAGAGAGGAAGGGAGAGGAATAGAGAGTTAGAAACACTGATGAGAAAGAAACATCAATCAGCTGCCTCCTGCACACCCCCTATTGGGGTTGTGCCTACAACCAAGGTACATGCCCTTGACCAGAATCGAACCTGGTACCCTTCAGTCTGCAGGCCAACGTTCTATGCACCGAGACAAACTAATTAGGGCTAAGTTGACAATTTTGTATAAACTATGAATAATGTTATAAACATCCAAATGACCTTTTACAGAAAAAAAAAAGGTTCCACACGCATGGCCTAAAAGAGCATCAGGTAACTGCTGGAAAGGCCAGTAACGTTCTCAGAGATGCTGTCAGCTTTTACAATCACTACTCCACTGGAATTGCTAGACTAAGAGCATTTTATTTCCTCCCGCCCTTATTCTTATATAAGAACTGTGGATCAACTTATCTATAAGAGAACACAACCACCAGTATAATCCAATTTTTGCATCAAACAAATGTATAAAAAGCACATTTAAGATTTAAAGATATTGCTAGAAAGCAAAGTCTTTAGAGTAAGCCATGAATTAAGTACTCACTTCAGTACTTAATTCAAAACACTATTATTCAAAACAATAATCTCATCACATTCACTGACTAGATGAGTTATAACTTCATATCTTCTACAGAGTTAAAAAAAAATCCCCAAACTGGAGGAAACATCTAGAAAAATGTATGCTTCAAAGGTACTCCCAATAACCTTAAAAGTATTAAAAATACAAATTACAGCGGGAGGGTAGGGAGATCTGGGGGAGATAAGAGATCAACAGAAGGACTTGTATACATGCATATAAGAACAACCAATGAACACAAAACTCTGGGGAAGGAGGGTATGTATGGGGGGAGGGGGAGCAATGTTAAAATATGTACACAGATAATAATTTTATTTTTTTAAAAGAATATTAAAAATCTTATGCGAGGTTGTGGGTTCAATCCCCAGTTAGGACACATACAAAATTCTACCAATAAATACATACATAAATAAGTGAAATAACAAATCAATGTTTCTCTCTCTCTCCTCTAAAAAAATCAGTAAAATTCAAAATAATAATAATAACATCACTCTACTATATTCCAACTACAACTATAAAGGGGTACGTCTTTAGCACCTTTTGAATCAAATTTTCCAAAACTCGATACAAATGGACCTAGATCTAATCTGGCTAAACTACACTAGCTTAGTTATATTTGACTTTTTATGAAGATCTGTATTTTCTGACAATCATGTCCACAATTTGGTATTAAGTATAAAATCGTTACAAAAAAAAGTGTCTTTTCCAAAGGGTCTTCAGAGAATAATACGTTGGAGAGTATGACTTTCCTCCCAATTCGGAAAGTCTTCTAGTTACGTATTCTTTTCCAGTTTCACTTGGCACAGACTTCAACCACTCAGCTATTTAAGGGAACTTCTGTATGTAGAATGCATGGCTCCTATGTTCCATAGTGGATCCCATTTATTTGCAAGGATTATAGAAAGCATTAACCATATTCGATAAAACCAAGAGATTCAAGTGCCTTAGACAGTCAGCCTGCCACCCGACCAACTGAGCTCTGTAATCAAGATCAATTTCTGGAATCTTTCTAATGGTCCCCAGAGTAGAACTCCAGCGAGCCAGAGGTGGGTTGAACCACTTCCAGGCAGTGTAGGAAGACAGGAGCCTGCAATAAAGATGGTCTTTTCTCAATTCCTTCCCTCTCATAACTCTCCCACACACACAAAGAAAAAATATATATTTTTAAAAAGCTAAAGTTGTTTACCTTCTAGACCAGAGGGCATTACCTATCTCTCAGGCCTGCCATTTACTGATAAATTCAGCTGGTTGAATTTTGTTGTTGTTGTTCATTCACAGTTTACATTTTCATGACCTTATGGTTTTAAATAAATAGCCAAAAGCATTTGGGTAATTATATTTGCAGCTTAGGGTTAAGTTACAGCAAATATGTACAAGATTTATGCACAAATGGAGATAAACTATGAAAAAGTTGCTTCTTTAAGTCACTGGATTAAGACTGGAAGGTAGAAGCAAAAGCACTTCAGTATTTTTCGTGGCTGCATGGATTCACCAGGTGCTTCAAATCGATGATTTTTTTTTTCAGGGTTCCCACCTTTGTGACGTCCTGCTAATAATTTTAAGGACAAGTATACTGTGTTCATTCTCACTCCCAATGAACAACTATTAATGGATTTTTTTTAACATCATGGATTTTCATTGTTTTGCAAAGTATTTTTGATTCTGAAACCCATCTAATCTAATTTCTTTTTAAATCTCTCTTCCTTCTCCCTGCAAAGTCTTAAATCCTGCTGACTCCTCTTCTGCAACTCCAGAAGGAATTCCCTTCCATCTCCAGGAAACACCTAGCTTACATATTTGACCTACAGGGGGGAAAAAAAAAAATTCTTTCCAAGCGTTCCGAGGGCTAGTAGAAAACTCAGACTTCCACAACCACTCCTCTTCACCATCTTCACTGCTGCCTCCCCATCCTGCATTCCTGGTGCATCTGAACTTCTTGTCATCACCGTCCAGGCTCCACTCCCTTCCTCCCCGCCCTCCCCCCCCCCCCCCCCCACTTGCTTGCATCTGCCTTCTCCCATTTCCTCCTACTCCCCCAATTCCTGCCAGAAGCCCCGCTCGCTAGCTAGCTGCCTGTTGCATAACGGCTCCCCCATTAGCATCTCCCCGGATCGCCAGGCCGGCTCCGCGGGCAGGAATGCCCCTTTCCGCCCGGCCCCTCCTCCCTTCTGCAACACGCCCAGCGGCTCCCGGAGCCGGGGCTCCTCCGGGGATTCTCTCCCGGCGGCGGGACGAGCTGCCAGGCGGGCGCCCCGCGGCGGAAGGGGGTGTAGCGGGTCTCCACTTCGGTGGGGAAAGCCCGGGGGCAGAGCCGGGCGGCCCGCTCCCCACGCCGCCCCCGCCGGCGCCCCCCGCAGCGCCGGGCCGATCCCCGCCGCCCTCCTCCCGCCCGGGCGGTGTCTTCAGGTGTCCGCGAGCAGCCAGCCCTGCGCACTTCCAGCCGGGCTCTCGGCCGGGAGCCCCCGGTGCGGCGCCCGGCTCCCGGCCGCGGAGGCAGCGGCGGGCCCCGGGTCCCGGAGGAGCCGGCGGCGGCGGCGGCCGAGAGGACGCTGGACCCGCGGCGTGGGCCTGCGAAGGGGGTGGCTCGCGGCCAGGGATGGGCAGCGGAGGGGACGCCGGCGGCCGAGGCCTCGGCGGGGCCAGGCGCGAAGGCCCGGGCGGGGAGCCGCAGCCCTTTCCCTCCCCACCCCCTCAGCGGGACTGCGGGGCGGCCGAGCAGCCCCGCGGAGACTGACGGACTGACTGACGCGGGGCGGGGGGGTCGCCGGCCGCCTCAGCCAACGCGCTAGGCAGGCGCGGCCGCCCCCCGCCTGCGCCCCTTCTGCAACCCGCTTGTCCGCCCGCCTGCCTCACCTTCAGGACCCGGATCCCGCCCGGCCGGCGGCTCGCGGGCGCTTCGGGCGGCTCCGGGGGCTCGAGCGGGCCCGCGGGCCCCGGCTCCACCTCCCCCATCGGCGGCGGAGGCTGCACAGGGACGCCCGGCCGGCGCGACGGCGCGCGGAGCCTCGGCGGCGCGCGCGAGCGGCCCGCGGCCCCGCCCCCGGCGCCCGCGGCCCCGCCCCGCAGCCACGCCCCCCGCGCCCGAAGCCACGCCCTCCCGCAGCCCTTCGGACCTGCGTAGCTGCGGGCGAGGTGCGTCTGGGGCGCCCGGAGCCGCGTGCTGGCGGGTGGGAAGTGTGGGCGCAGCCGCAGGTCTGTCTGGGCCTCCTCCCCACGGTCGGCTGCCTCGGCGGACCGAGGCTCCGGGAGGGTGGTTTACTGCAGTCCCCGCCCCCCAAGTGCCGGCTGGACAAAGGGCAGGTGTCCACGGTGACAGGACGCTGCTCCACACACACACACACACACACACACACACACACAGGGCGGCTCTTGTCACTTGTCTCCTCCCTCTCCGATGGAACGAGTTGTTGGGAATGCTCCCCTTAGCGAGGGAGGACCTTGCTGTTCGTTATTGGAGATGCTCACGACAGTCAGCAAATTCGACCCAACCCTGTGTACAAAATGTTAATTTCTCCTCCTAGCCACGTTTTTAATTCCCCTTCTCCTTAAGTAGTAACATCAGAATTCGGTTCTCTGTCTCAAGCTATTATGTATCGGTGACCCGTTTAATTGCTCGCAAAGATGATTGAGAAAATCTTTTTAAAAGTTTTCCTTCTAGTTCCCGCATTGGCGGTAGCTTTGTGGCCGGTCAGTGGGCCAAATTCGGAATCGTAAAGCTTGATTCCAAGTCTCAGCTCTACCTCTTATTAAGCATATACCCTCGTGCAAGTTACTTGATCTCAGACTTTCATTACGAAGCAGTGAAACAGAAATTAATATCTGCCTAGCAGTTACTTTGAAGATTTTGTGAGTGATGCGGCGTGCTTATTAGCACATAGTAAGGATTCATAGTAGCCATTATAAATGTGAATTTCCAAATTTAAGATTCACTCGGTTCCTCGGAGTATTCTTGTTAATTCTGTTCCAAATTTTCCTAGGAAACATAGACTTCTGGGTTTTTAGGTATTCCCCTTACAAAGGTATTGATGATTCTTCAAGCCACTTGCAAAAAATAATTTCTCAAGCTTTGAATAATTGGTAAAGATTAATCATTTATTATCCATTGCTGCAGCTTGCCTAGTCCAGACCATGTTTTAATTGCAGTCTTGTGGCCTACAATGGTACTATGATAGGTATGCACTTTAAATTCCAAGGCAAAATTTGACTCTTGCAAAGATCCTGACCCTGTACAAACTGTTTCTTCTGTAAATTTGGTCACTACATGAGTTACCTTGTATATACAAAAATTCAATCTCCAGTCATCTTCATTTCTTTGTCTCATTCTAATGAAAAATTATTTGTCTCTGTGTCTAGGTGTAAGGTGAATAAAGTTCCTATTTCAATGCTTACTGGGTAACTTCTAGCAAGAACACTAGTTTGTAAAAATAGGCACCAATGTAGAGACAAAAATGGACCTGACCAAGGATAAGCAAGCAGTAGAAAGAATAAAAACATGGCTCAGGATTAGTGTGTAAAAGCCTGTTTCTTGGTGTATTATCTTTTCCTGAGGCTCTTTATTGACTGACCACCTGAAGAGGAAGGCAGTCCCAAGGACCAGCATTTGCATTCATGCTGGGCAAGATCAGTGGTAGATGGCTGTTGTTTTTTTTTAATTAATGGAATAGTGGGCTAAAGCGTCAATTCAAAATATAAGCATATGCCAAAGTTATATAGTTAGTACCTCTGTCAAAAGGGGGGGAAATATAAAGCTACCTGCCCAGATACTGCATGGGGATCATTTATGATGCAGCTCCCATTAAAAGTCTCCATGATTTAAGATCCAGTTCAGTAAGTAGTGACAACCAGTTGATTCTGCTTTCAAATCATATACTGCCATTAATGTTTTATACTGTCTCAAAGGTCACGTATACATGTTCTCCCCAGTTCAAGGCAGTGTGCATTATGTATGCCAAGGGTTATGTAATTACAATTTCCGGAAATGGTCAACAGCGAAGACTAACCCTAAGAATAAATTTCTCTGGGATTTCTTGGTGCAAAAATCCATCTGCCCTCACTGTAGGTTCATTATTACAAAAAATCACTGCAGGTTTGGATCAAAGCAAGGGGCAGAAGTCATTAGATTTTTTCCTCTCCATATCCTCTCCTTCGTATAAGCAGCTGTGCATACCTCTCCCCCCACCTGGGGCACACCCACATGCTTTAATATCAGGGGCTTTTCCTAATGCTCACTACAAAATGGAAAAGAAGGTGAAAGTTCGTATCAGATTTTCATAGAACCATAAGCTAACTACATTGGCTTAATAATAGGTTGTCCCCACTCTTTCAATGATTACAAAGTCATCTTAAGGCTTCAAACCCTTGTTATTCTATCACAGGTTGAGCCGATTTAGATATTTTTCTTTTTTTTAGAGAGATAGAGAAACATCAATTTGTTGTTCCACTTATTTACGCATTCATTGGTTGATTCTTATATATGCCCTGATGGGGGGGTCAAACCGACAACCATGGCATTATTAAAACACCGAGCTAAGCAGCTGAGCAACCTGGCCAGAACTAGATATTCCTTATTTTAGTTCCAAATAAACAGACAGACAGTATTTACCTGGCTTCAAAGTTTGAAGAAATTTCTTCCTGGAGCATTTTTATACCTTTGGAAGATGAGAAAATTGAAGTAGGGGAGAAAATAGCATGGAAAACCCTTAAAAGCGGTAAAACCTACTGTGGTCTTTCTAGACTGAAATTCAAACTGGAATACAAGTCATTACATATTTGTCTTGTTTTTTTTTTTTTTCAACTCATATTTTTAAGTAAATATCTGGAATCTATTACTTGCTAAACTTTTCTACTGTAGCTTTTATATTTTCATTTAATGACATATAGATGAAGGTGTTAACAAAATTTAATATTAGGAACAAAGATGTTGAGTCACGTATAAGTAAAGATGATAGAATGTCACTTATCAAACAGTGCCAAAGGGCACTTCTGCATAAACTAGATAATTGGCAAGGACTACATCTTTCTCCTTCTCAAAATATAAGGGGACTGTTAGGAATCATCTGAGTAACAGAAAAGCTAAAGCTTTGAACTTCCAACCACTCTCACTGCTATGTAAGTGTGTGTATAAAATAGATCAGGAAGTGTAATTCATTTTGGTTAGTTAAGCCTTCCTCTTCCCAGTCACAGGTATCCTTGAACATTTCACAAATTGTATCCAAAGCACTATGACCACCCCCATACACATTTCACCTGTATATGATTTCTTTGTGTGAGAATTCTCCTTTGTATAGAAGATAAGCATGGACATAATCATCTAGCTAAAATTCCCAATTACACTTTTCACTGTCTACAACTAGAAGTAGGTTTTGTTTTTTTTAAGTTGTTCAAATTCCTCTCTTGGTGAGATTTATGTACAAAAGGAACATCAATTGGTCAACAAGTTTAGCTCAAAGTTCTGGAATAGCAATTCATCCCAAGCTTCTCTAATCTACTTGTAAGAATCGAGAAAGCAAAATTTAAATCATTGAGTATTGACTTTTTTATTATTAGTCACTGTTCATAATTTGTTTCAACCAAAAGACAATACACACAGCAGAATTCTAATGCATCCCATGTAAATGTTTACATCCATTTTATTCCTCACTCGCCTCTAAGGCTTATCATTTAATTTTAAATTTTTTTTACATCTCAAAAATATGTCTGCAATAATTAGAACTTCATTAGCTGTCCCACTTGGAAACAGCCTTTAATATTTTTACAGTAAAGAAGATGTGATGGGGCTTAATGAAAATGTAACTTACAATATTCTGAAAGAAAAGGGACTTTACAGGGACACAGTGGGAGTTCCCAGAGGAAAGAGTTCAGAAGCTCTTTCCCATGAGGCCCCCCGAGTAGAAAACAAAAACAAAACACACAAAGGGCAACAGCAGGTTCCAAACACAAAAACAAATAAACTCCAATGCTCTATCCCAAAGCCAGAATCGGCCTCATGGACGTTCATGAAGCAACTGTACAAGCTGCTTCAGCATTTTCTTCTGTTTAAATGTTCCCGGTCCAAGAACCCCATAGGTGGGACCCACTCACTGCTATTGCTTGAGAAAGTTATTCGCTTCCAGTTCTACAAGCAGCCCCACCCTCCTGAGCCAAAGCTGGTCAGAGTGTTTTAATCTTCAACACATTCTGAGCAGTCTTCTCTTCAGTGATCCTTCCCACTCCCAAACGCATGAGAACATGTACCACCTCTCTGCCAACCAGTTTTTGAATATCCACTTTTTACTCTCCGGCTCTCCGTTTAGGACAATGCGGATAAAATACATTCACTAGAAAAAAATATATACACATTCAATCTCTTTCCTTTAGTTCTCATGGCCCTGAAATTTTCCAATGCAGAAGGTAATGATGTTGAATCTCAAAAACAGTATCCCCTAACTGCCAACTTCTTGTAGAACATAAAAATAGAAAGCATGTTATATAGATAGAAATACTCAAACCGTTAGTGCTGGACAGTTTTCAAAGTCTATTTTTTCATAGGAAGGGGACAAAACAAGAGGTACGGACATCTTTAACCTAGCAAGAGGAAAGAATCCCCTCCCAAGTGTTACACTGAGGAATGTTTCTTTAAATGAGAAATATCTTAAAATGAACAGATGATCACCATACACAGCATAAAACATTCCATGACTGTCCAAGTCACCTCAAGATAACAGCACCGGAGCATTATGGGAGAAGTTTCTCGGGTAGAGTACCCTCCCTACTGTTTTTTAAGATAACTTAGATGAATTCTCCCTTAGTATTACTGGGGAGGCGGGGGGAGGGGCAGGAGGGGTAGGAGGGGGTAGGACACAAACTACTCTAGAAGAGGAAAAAATGAGGTAAAAGTGCATGTGAAATTGTCCAAGTAAGTGTGTGTAGGCTCACTGCTAATCACCCTGAAGTTATTGAAACAGCCGCGGAAATCACTCTTTCCTCACAATGGCTCTAAAGTTGTAAATCTATCCAAATTTGCTCCCCCCTTGAATGGTTATTATACTAGGGAAAGAAATTACTGAAATGTATAAATTATTCATAGCAATTAAGAGATTCCTCCTTTTAGCAGCAAGGCCAAGTGAGGGAGAACTAGTTCCGATCCTAGAAACTAAGGCACGCTGAAGCTATCAAAGATCCGATCATTTGAAACAGTCTTCACAACCATCAGTATCCTAGGCAAGTAATCTGACCTCTAGTCCTTCAGTCCCGTGCTCGGTCGGGTTCACTCTCTGAAATCACTTCATATTCTACACAGCACCCTTTGTGTTAAGGCCATGATTTTTATTCCTCCTAGACAAAGCTATGGGTGATCACACAATGCTCTACCTTAAAACTATGATCACCCAAGGAGATGCTGTTACAAGAGCAGACCCTTTCCAGCTCCTTAGCTAGCACTGCCTTAGAGCTTGGTCTTCAGCAGATTTCTCAAATTCAACTCAGTTCAACTAAAGAAGCTTGAGCTGGTTAACGATAAACATGAGAGAGAAAAAAAAAAAGCCTCTACCACAAAGAGGAATGTTAGACAAATTCTAGTCGAGAAATCCACCAACATTGTGTTAATCCTATCATGTTTCACAGCATTAAGTGTCCATCCAATGCAATCAGTCTGCAAAGAAACCTCTAAAGGCGATTTTTCATTGCGCAGGCAGAGCAGTTGTGAAAAATACATACTAGTCCACACTTACTTCACTGAAAACTACGCACAAGATAATGTCCTGTTTTTGACTCAGTCAACCGTTTACCCAGTGGAGTTAAATTTTAGCAAATCTTGCTCTTATGTTTTAGTAAAACCTGGAAGTTTCCCCTTTGAAGCCTTTAGTTCATTTCCAGTTTGTCAAATGTAAGGATTAGCCTAGCATCTGATACAGAGCTAGATTTGACAAGACACTGAAGATTTGAAGTAAAGGCTTGGTGAAATGGAAGGGGAAATGGATATTTGTACCCAGGTTTAAGACCGAAGCCAAGGTAGTCATTATACTGTACTCAATACAGTAATGATTACCAACATTTTAAGAGCAAGGTGAGCCTGACTCTTCCTTTCTTCTTTAGTATATCAGACATGGCACCTGTGCACCTGAACGTACACAGTACATTCAACATGGGCCACAGGAGAATCACCCTACCTTATTCCAGCAACTGAGTGTTAAGGTGTGAAATTGCAAGGGTCCTTTCTAAAAAGCATTCAGAACTCCTACTAGTTTTCAGAAAGCTCCAGATCTCAAGTCTTTGATGCAGATGTTCATGAGACTAGCCTCTCTTAAGAGACCAATTTCTCAGACTCAGGAAAGGATATCCCTGCCCTATGGTGTCCATTCCTCTGTCATAGGGGACAAGGAAGCTACAAGGCTTCATTCCAACACCATGAAGTACAATATAGGAAAGATTTCTTTAACCGTGTGGTCTTTATTTCAGTGCCAGTGTTACAGATACAACACAAATGTTCCAGTTAGAAGAAAGAATTCAAACGGAATGCCAAGGTCCAAGCCAGGCTCAGGAAATAAAAAGGGATGTTTGGAGTAATGGAGTATGCTCTAGGATGAGTCTGATACTCAACTCTTCCTATGAGCAAAGGTGCTTTTGTTAGAGAATCTAATCTTTAAAAGTGGTAAACTCCTCTTTCCACCCATTTACCATAGTTCATCAGGCAAGTTATAGGCTTAAGAGAAACTGTAAAATTTGTGGTGGGAATAGGGGCATTAATAACTACTTATATATAATATCTTTTAGAAGCTGTCCACCTTGCACTTTAAGGGGAGTCAATTTTGAAAATCATGGAGAGTATTCATCACTACAGCTCAAGAAGGGAAAGGAAGGAGAGCTGGAAGAGCCTTGGAAGTTTCTATTACAAATAGAGCACCATATCCTTCATGCCAAATCTCAACAAAAGCTCTTTTTAACTATGCATCTGTCCAGTGTTTACAAATAACCTTTCAAAGTCTGACCAGTTCTTGGTAACAAGCATACATACATGTGTGTGTCTGTGTGAATACAGCAAAGCACAGAAAAGGCTCCCAGGAGCCTATTGCCTTTCAAACATTGGGGGAACCAGTAGAAAAGGCAGGTCTCCCTAATGTTCATGGTTACGTTTCCATTCTGAATGCCAGATGTAAAAAGCGCCTGATGATGGTGACCCAGTTAGTGAGGAATAAATACCCCACCTCGCCCAGTCCACAGAGAAACACAGTATAAAGAAGGGACAACTCTGCTGCAGAGACGGTGTGAGTGTTTTCTTGCCATGGATTCCAGTCCTCTCCTCCAGACCAGCTGCTTTTTCCTCAGGGGCCCAGGGAATGTTGATTCTGGCTGTTAATGTGGGAGGGGTAGAGAAGTGCAGAAAAAGGGTAGAGGAGGAAGAGTGCAAACTAGCCTCCAGAAGCAGCCGGCCTCAGCGGTGGAGGAGAGGAGATTAGTCTTTAACAATGCTTCAAGGTCAGCAATTACTTTAGGAAAATCCTCCTCAACAGTTCTCTTCAGCTCCTCGTGCCCATGGTACAGTTGGGGGGGACTTGCCAGCAATCACAACCTCCTTCCCAGAGTTCCTTTGATTGAGTGGGGTAAGAATAAGAATGGTGCCGGACCTTCATTGCCAGGACTGAGGGGGAAAGTTGTTCACTTCTGCTAGATCTTGCATTGCTGAGCCCTTGTGATTATATGTGAGCTTGATCCGCATTCGAAGCTGTTGCTGTGAGAAAAGAAAAATCACACATTATACAATGAAATGAAATCTCTAGAATCTTTCCAGTCCACAAATACACTTTTAAAGAAAACAAAATTATTTTAAAGCAAAGTTGTCTCTTAAAAATGACACACTGGCACCCAGCTGGTGTGGTTCAGTTGGTTGAACATCATCTCATGCACCAGGAGGGTCACAGGTTCAATTCCCAGTCAGGGCATATGCCTGGATTGCAGGCTCAATCCCCAGTAGGTGACGTGCAGAAAGCAGCCAATAGATATTTCTCATCACTGATGTCTGTCTGTCTGCTTCGCTCTCTCTCCCCCTCTCCTTTCCTCTCTCTCCAAAATCAATAAAAATATATTTTGAAAAATTAAAAATGACATACAAACAGCAGCAGAAAAACCACCTAGTACTCTAGCTATCAGCCACAGACGCAACCTCATGCAGTCAGGCATCTCCAGAACACATCGCTGGCTTTGATCCTAGAACTGCAGTAACAGGACAGAACCACGCGAGAGCATTTTCACGGTAACATTGGCTGAGTGTTTTTCAAAAAGATTCAACTCATATGTAAGTTTCTAGAAAAAGTATGTAAACATATACTCATTTTATGCTCTACATTCAGACATACTGTAAAACCTATAGTAAATGTGAACATAAACTTGTTTCATTCCCAAGGCATAAAGAAGGGTGAGAAAAAATAAAAAGTTAACTTATGGGTAACAGCAGTAGTTTTAAGAAAACTCAACTATAAGTACTTTTCACTTCATGTGGCAGATTTCAAATAGTGCATTAAGAAAATTTTTATTCTATGAATCAGATTGTCAAAGGAATTTCTAATTGTGCTAGAGGTAGATACTCAAAATATAGTGAATAGCAGAGAAAAGACAAGTGTTACAAGAGGACAGAATCGAAATGGTATTTATGAGGCACTACCAGAAATCTTTGAAAGGAAGGAATTCCCTGAATCATTTCTAAAAATGAAAACTAGTCAATTAATTAGTATTAAGTGGAGGTAATTTATTTCTTTGAAAAAAAATATAATAAAAGCATTGCTTAATTGTAGTTTCAAAAGCTATTTTTCCATTTGGCTGCTTAATTAAAATGTCTCCACTTTTGCTATGCATCTTTAACAATTACATGAAATATGGATTTTTGGGTTCAACAAATGCTCTTACCCCAGACTGCAACTATGTAAAGGTTAGAATGTCTAAGCTTCCACACTCCTGCAAAAACTAGACCTTTAAGCCTCTAAATAGAGAATTTTTTTAAAGCTGCATTTTAAAATTCCACTAAATCATCTAATGTGTCTGGGCTCTGTTTATTATCTTTGAAAGAACAAGGTTAAACCAGACATTTTCACAGATTTCTTATGACTATGAGTCAAAAAGCTCCAGAGAAACAAAGCTGAATTTTATTTCAATAAATAAGCTTGCATCTTTCTCAGATATTGTCTTCAAATGTGCTACTCACCTTCTGTGGGTTCAGAACTTTAATGACTTGTGTGATGGTCCCCGTATTAAATGCTGGGACAACGCTGCTGCTAGGAGACAGAAGCTGCAGCTGGAATGTCTGGGGAGAACAAAGGGCATCTTCAGAAAGAAAATACACTTAATATGATGTCAGAGGAAGCAACAAATAAAAACGTCAGCGCTAGCTGGTTTGGCTCAGTGGATAGAGCAATGGGCTACAGACTGAAGGGTCCTGGGTTCAATTCTGGTCAAGGGCACATGCTCAGTTTTGAGCTAAATCCCTATGGGGGGTGTGCAGGAAGCAGCCGATCAATGATTCTCTCTCTGCCGAAACCAGTTTGGCTCAGTGGTAGAGCATCGGTCTGCAGACTGAAAGATCCCAGGTTCGATTCCGGTCAAGAGCATGTACATTGGTTTCGGGCACATCCCCGGTAGGGGGTGTGCAAGAGGCAGCTGGTCGATGTTTCTCTCTCATCGACGTTGCTAGCTCTCTCTCTTCCTCTCTGTAAAAAACCAATAAAATATATATTTTTTAAAATGATTCTCTCTCATCACTAATGCTTCTATCTCTCTCTCCCTCTCCCTTCCTCTCTTAAATCAATAATATATATATTTTTTTAAATCAGTTGATGGCTTAAGTAATAAATTTATTTATTACTACTTTCTATTTGTTTTCCAGAAATCCACAATTCATAGTATGTGGGTGGACTACCATTTCTTGGTATTTATAAAATTCCAGGAAGTCTCTGATCATGAAAACTAGCAATGAGCCCTTCTTCCTCCCCTTTCTGGCAGAAAGAACCTTATCCTACTAGTTTTTAAAAGGTGACCAATTCTTGTTCTGGCAACCTCATTTAACAATAACTAATCAACTATTCAGGTTAAAAACAGGTGTTTGTGGCTAAAAAAGAAGCTAAAAAGAAATGAAAAGAAAAACTTTCTAAAAATAACAAACCAGCATACCAGTCACTAACTACAGACTGGGATGCGGAGACTTGAACTTTTGCTTTCTAAAGCAAAATCGGACTCTGTCAAAGCCTACTCCTATGTGAATGTGATAGAGGTGAAGGAAAAGCTGGCAGAGCCAATTTGTTAATAGATCATTCCATTGGGCACATAAGGTCCTAACAGAAAAATCACATGCAGAACTAGTCCACAGGGCAAAAGACCTGGAAAACCAGAGCTATCGGTTGCATGCTGGTGGGTTTTGTTTGTTTATAGATAACACAGGTGGAAGTGTTATGAGCAACACAAGTAAACTATAGAATTTTAAAATATCTTTCCTGAAAGTTCAGTCTTCTAAAATATTAAGGAGAGAGTAGAGAGAGAAAGAGAAGGAGAGAAAGAGAGAAAAGTGAAAAAGAGAGAGAACAGAATGAGAAAAGAGAAAAAGGGGAGGAGGAAGGCTGAAAACTGGTTTGGCTCAGTGGATAGAGCGTCGGCCTGTGGATTCAGGGGGGATGGGTGGTGGTGGTGGGGGCCCACGTTCGATTTTAGTCGAGGGCATGTACCTTGGTTGCGGGCACATTCCCAGTGTGTGTGTGTGTGTGTGTGTGTGTGTGTGTGTGTGTGTGCGCGCGCGCGTGCATGCGCGCGCGCGGGCAGCTGATCAATTATTCTAGCTCTCTATCCTTCTCCCTTCCTGTGAAAAATCAATAAAATATATTTTTTTTAAAGGGAGGGGGGAGGGGAGTAGGAATTCTACCCAGTCTTCTCTGAAGCCAAAAATTTTAGGAGTAGAAATTTAATCTCAATATATAGGTTTATTACTTTGGGTCGTACTCTTAATTTTATTGTCAAGATAAATTATGTAAGCTAAAATATTATTCACTTATTTATATTTATTTAATTAAATATAAGATACTATCAATTATATACCACTGAAGAAAAAAAAAACCATATGTTGCTAAATAAACTATGACAAGGTATCAATTTTAAAATGTACCTCAATTTCAGAGATAATAAAAAGTAAAAATTAGTCATAGAATCTATGTACTATATATGACAGTTTGAAATCCAAGATATATCATTGTTATGCAAACAGGCATAGTACAGTATAGCACCAAGAATAAGACAATGTTTATGAGCAGAGATGATATGTTGCTAGAACAAAGGCAAGTGACCAATATAAAACCCTAAAGTTGCAGTAGCTAACACTTACTGAGCACTGATCACATGGAAAGTATAATACTTAAAACAGTATCAGGGACATGAAACTCATTTATTCCTCCTGAAGAAGATAATCCTTAACAACACCTTTCTTTGCGAATGAAGAAACTGAGACACAGAGGTTAAGAAACTTATGACTAGTATGGAAACCACTTTCCTGCTTCTAAAATATCAACAATATTCTGACTCCTAAAAAAGCAAAAAAGAAGATTGCAAAATCAACATAACCACAAATAAAAGGACTTAAATTTCCAAAAATGTGTGGTCTGAATGTCATATTTTCTTCATATGTCACTGCAAAAATTATATTAACTTACGCTAAACCAGCAGCTGGCAAACTATGGCCCATGGCCAAGAATGAACTGACACCTGTTTCTGTAAATAATGTTTCATTGGAACAGAGCTACACTCCTTCCCTTACTGTCTGTGGCTGCTTTTGCACTATAGCAGCAGAATTGAGTGGATTCTAGGACCAGAGAGTCTAAAATACTATCTTCGTCTAGTACAGAAAATTTCTGTCCAATCCTCATTCTAAACTCTTCTTCATTCAAACTTTTCTAAGTACAAATTGACAGTTACAAAATAGTCATGGGGATATAAAGTACAGCAGAGGGAATAGTCAATAATATTGTAATAAATATGTATGATGCCAAATTTACATGGGAAATCACTTTGTAAATTGTATGTCTAACCACTATGCAGTACACCTGAAACTAATATAATGTCAAATGTTAACTATCATTAAAAAAAGAATTTTTTTAAGGGAAAAAAACTTTACTATTCAAACATGAACATAAACACTCCTTAAACCTAGATTTGGTTTAAACAAAACTTCAACTTACAAAACAAGCAGTCACAATATCAATAGTAAACTAAACATTAATGAAGGAGAAATGTTTTTCTCCTATATCGATGAGAACTTTTAATTCTCTACAACAGAATAATACATAAAATCTCTCATCTTAATTAACTTTAATTTTGTTATAATTTGTGTTTTATAGGCCTTTACCACTGTATTACCAAACATTAATAGACCACTTTACAGAACTCTATCTCACTTCTATTAGAATGTCTTTTCTTTATCCTATAATACTAACGTAAAAATATTTATGACCAAGTAAAAAGTATTAAAATGCTATGCTTGAATGAACCATAATATTATAGCTACATTATTGTTAGTTTGGGCTAAACCTGCCAATATAGTTTAATCTGTAAACATTAAAATATATCTCTTACCAAGAAAGGTTTTACTTATTTATTTTAAATACATTTTATTGACTTTTACAAAGAGGAAGGGAGAGGGATAGAAAGTTAGATATATCAATAAGAGAAACACCAATCATCTGTCTCATGCACACCCCCTCCTGGGGACAGAGCCCGAAACCAAGATACATGCCCTTGACCAGAATCGAACCCAGGACCCTTCAGTCCATAGGCCGACACTCTATCTACTGAGCCAAATCGGTTAGGGCCCAAGTGAGTTTTTAAAAGATTAAGCCAATCTTTATTCAAAAGAAGAAGGCAAAAAAGACATTGTAGTACCTTTGGTACCGCAGCCTGGAAAACAAAGTCCGTCATGTCCAGCTCTGTGCTGTTAGAGGCCTGTATCGTTATCACCGTGACACTGGGGTTGGTGTTTGACCGTTCGAAGGTGAATTCTATCTTCAAGCCATTCTTATTGTATGCTGTGATAGAGGGGATGCCTGGGAAAGTACAGGAAGCTTAGCCTAACTGTAGACAGGCTAATACTTATAAAATTATTTGCTTTCTTCAATAACTTTAATAACATCAGTAATTGTACCTGTAGTGATGTCATTGAAGAGAGGTTGTGATGAAAGCCCATCCAACAAGAAAGGGGGCTGGGATATCTGTGGGGCTGAGGCAGGGGCAGGAGCAGCAGTTGGAGCACCTATAGGAAACAGTCCAACGTTAAGTCAATATTACTCAGCATGACAAAACTCATCGAGAAAATATAGGAGAAAAATATTATGACCTCAGATTAAGAGAAAGATTCCATAAATAAGATGCATAATGCATAAACCAGAAACGGAAAGAACTTAAAATTCAAAAACTTTAAAATTGAATAATGTCTGTTCATTAGAAAATACTGTAAAAAAAAAAAAAAATAGAGAGACCACAGGCAGCAGAAAATGCTGCTACAAGACAACTAATGAATGAGTATCCAGAACTATAAATATCTTCCTACAAGTCAATAAGGAAAAAATAACCCAATTTAAAAGTGGTAAGAAATAGGAATATCTTATGAAAAGAACATCTTATGAAAAAAGATGCTCAGTAAATTAGGAAATGGAATTTAAAGCCACATTGAGATACTACTTCACATCCAGTACAGTGGTGAAAATTTCAATGTGATAATACCAAATATTAGTAAGAACGTGTAGCAATGGGGACTTCTAACGTGTTATAGGTATATACACTGACACAACCAAACTAGAGACAATGTAGCAACAATAGAGCTGAGCATGAGTATATACCTAAAGTTCCTCAACCTCAAAACTCATAACACTTCAAATGATTCTTTGTTGTGGGAGGCTGCCTTGTGCATTGCAGTGGGTTTATCAGCACCCCTGGCTTCTACTCATTAAATGACAGTAACATCCTCCAGTGTGACACCTGAAAATATCCACTAAGCCCTGGTGGGCAAAATCTCCCCATTGAGAACCAGTGCCTTTTGCACAAATTCTTAAATATGTACACAGGGAAACTTGTATAAAAGTGTGCATAGCAAAATAGTTTGTAACAGTGAAATACTGGATACAACCAAATGTTCATCAAGATAATGGGCAAGTAATTGTGAGAGAGTGCAGGCTGAGCTGAGGGGGGGGCCCCCCATACACAAATATCGTGCATCAGGCCACTAATTTTGTATGATAAAAGTAAACATACACATACACAATAGTAAAACTGTTAATGCACTAGAAGTGCAGTTGACCCTTGAATAATGTGGAGGCTAGGAACACTATTATTCCGTACAGATCTCCACACATGAGGATTCCCAATGAAGGAGTTGACCTTTGGACAACTCGAGTTTGTACTGTGAGGATCAACTGCACGGGTCAACTGAACATTTAACATGAATTATTCATAGATTATTCTCACAAATACAATGTTCAGCAAAAGCAAAAGAACATTCAGTTGGATATCATTTCTATAAACATAAAAACTGGCAAAACAATATTACACACTATTATCTATATATATAAAAGCCTAAGTGACCATCAAAACTGAATGGACAACCACACAGGCTGCATGGGGCAACCAGACCAGCAGGGGGTTAGTGAGGTGCGACCAAAGGACCAAACAGCAGGCAGCGTGGGACAACCAGGCCCGCCGGGGGGACAGTTGGGGGCCAACAGGCTGGCAGAGGGGGGCAGTGAGGGATGACTAGGCCAGTGGGGGTGGCAGCTGGGTGTGATCAAGCCAGAAGGGGAGGCAGTAAGGGGAGATAGGACCAGGGAGGCACAGTTAGGGATGATCAGGCAGGTAGGCAGGTGAGCAGTTAGGAGCCAGTGGTCCCGGATTGTGAGAGGGATATCCCAGGATTGGGCCTAAACCGGCAGGCAGACATCCCCCGAGGGGTCCCGGATTGGAGGGTGCAGGCTGAGCTGATGTGGGCCTCCCATGCATGAATTTCTTGCATCAGGCCATTAATTTTATATGAAAAATCCAATATTGCGTTTGGTTTGGACAAAAACAAATATTAAAAACAACTTGAAATTTGGTCATGTTTAGGGCATCAAAATGGACTGTCGACTTAATCCTATATAATAAAAGTGTAATATGCAAATTGACAGAATGGCCAAACAATGGAAAGACCATCTGGGACCACACTATGACACCCACTGGTGCGAGGCTAGCCAAGGTGGGTGTGATGCAATTGGTCAGGGACCCAGCCATTGCCCCATGATCTCCCTCAGAGGAAGGCTCAGGTCACCCACTGGTCTCCCTATGCGAGAGAAGTCCAGTCCCAGGTGCCTGAGGGAAGCCGGTGCTGGCAGCCAGGGGAAGGAAGGCCTACTCTTGCATGAATTTCATGCATTGGGCCTTTAGTAAAGAAATATACAGAAATGGTAAACACCAAAGCTAAACACTGCTTCAGGATAGACAGTAGTGACCTCTGGGACCAAGAGGGAAGGAATTGAGGGGGAGGTATAAAGGGAATGTTAACTTTCATAACAATATTTTATTTTACAAGCTAAGTAGATCAAGGCATTTATTGAATTTTATAGATGTTAAATATTGTATAATAAAAATTTAACACACACACACCCTGGAGAGAGTTGTATGAAGGAGGGGGGTAGAATTACCAGATTACCATTTTTATTTTATCCTTCCCATAAGAAAAAGGAGGATCATACAACTGAGAGCAAATGATAGAATATGGCCATGACCTGAGAGAAATCAAAATTCTAAGAAGCGGTATAAGAAAATTCTGCAAAATAAAGAAAATGCATTTTATATTTAAACATATTTAAAATTACTTATAAAATTGAAATTATACTAATAACAAAATTTTAAAAATAAAGGAAGAATGAAATATCCTTTGAAAAAATACCTAACTATACTAAGGGGAAAAATAACAAGCATGCTAAAAATTAGCAAGGAAGGTAGAAAAACAGATGACTAAGCAAAGCACAAGAAATTAAAAACAGATATGACACTGCAGAACAAGCAGTCAAGCAGATTGCCTATGAAGTATACAAAGAAATATTCATATAGTTCTGAGTTTATATAAAACTAATCTACTAATTTTCCCACAATAACCATTTTCAAAACAATTTTAGAAACATGTTCTCGTGGAAAATTAGAGGTTACCAAAATATATAGATAACATATGGGTCCTTAAGTCCCTTAAATTTTAGCCTTTTTCTCCTCTGAAAATACCATAGGTAGTACCACAGAAACTTACTGTATCAATTCCTCTGAGAACACACACTAAATTTATTTAGATTTCCACTGATTTATATTACTGTGCATTAGGATATAAGTAATGATGGCTTAAAGAATCTATAACTCAAAAATAGGAAAATATGTTTAAAACACAATATGAATTAACATAGGAAAATCTAGACTTGAACATTATTGGTTTGCTTTTTCATATAACACTGGGAAAACAAGTAAGAACAAAAGCAAAATAAAACATTAAGACTCCATGATAAATGAGTTAAGGACTCAAAAGGAATATGGAAAATAAAATTCATGTATAATGCAAAAATGTTGATATATATGAACCATTCCCTGTGATTGAAAAACTTGAAATTAACAAAATAATAGGGCCAATTTTTAATCTGCTAGGGCTCATAAAAAATGATAGTACACAATACTTATGATTGTATAGTAAAACTGGTGGCAATATACATGGAGGTTAAGGTAAAAAACATTTATCATATGCCTACTATGATTCATACATGCACTGCATAAGTCACCATTCCTCATAAATATTCTCTGAGGTTAAGTATTTGTCATGTTTTTTTTAAAGATATTTTTTTAAAACATATTTTATTGATTTTTCAAAGGGGAAGAGAGAGGGATAGAGAGTTAGAAACATCGATGAGGGAGAAACATCAATCAACTGCCTCCTGCACACCTCTCAGTGGGAATGTGCCTGCAACCAAGGTACATGCCCTTGACTGGAATAGAACTTGGGATCCTTCAGTCCGCAGGCCTTCGCTCTATCCACTGAGCCAAACCAGTTAGGGCTGTCATCTTTATTTTAAACAGATTCAGAAAGACTAAGTAATTAGTCAAAGAAAGTAATCAAAAATAAGGACAAATTTATATAACCTTCCTGCAGTCCCTCCCTGACCACCAGCCCCAAATGGGACTGGGTGAGATGGCCCTGATCAGCCCTGATCGCTAGCCAGGCGGGGGGAGGACAGGGGGACACATGACGACACCCGTGCATGAATTTCATGCACCAGGCCTCTAGTTGCTTTAATAATAGGGAAGAAGGGAGCTCTGGAAAAACAATGAATAGAAAGAAACCTAGAGAAAGGAAAGTGATGTCTTCAGATACTAATTAAAAGCAAAGGTGACTTGGGATTTTTTTTTCCAGCCTGAAAGTTTTAAAATGCAAATAATTATCCCCAAATTAAACAAAACAACAACAACAACAAAAAATGGACTTTAAGGAATCCCTAGTCTCTAGAGTGTTAGCATGGCACCTTATATCCCAGATGTTGTGAAGATTCTAATCTTGCTTCTGACTTACCTTTGCCCATCTTCAACTGATGGATGTGCTAGAAAGTCCATGTTCAGCGTAGTTTTTCCCCAAACCCTTATCCCTATCTCAGCATTAAATAATTCCACTCAGACCTCACCTGTAAGGTTGATGTCTCCCAGCAAATCAAGAAGCTCTCCACCAGCAGAAGCTGGTTTGCTTGTAGGTACAGTTGGAATAACAGGTGTTATGTCATTTCCTCCCAACAAATCCAATAAATCATTGGCCTAAACAAGAAAATAATATCTCAATTTATTAATCATTTGCCTAGTCTACTTCTAATACAAAGCTCTTTCAACGCTTAAAAATAAGAGAATCATCAGTCAATCTCGGAACACTGAAGGGAATGAGCTAAGAGATTACAAGGAACTATCGATCATCAGTGTCCCCAGGGAAGCCAGTGAAAAGCTACCTGGCTGCTCGGCTGTGGCCCAGAGGGCGGTGGTTTGGTCTCTAGCGGAGCTGGTTCTGTCTCTCCGTTTGTCTGCACAATCTCCGTAGGACCATTTGTGGTCACTTTTTCCATGACAGGCATTCTCTCAAGCAAGGCAGACCTGAAAAAAAATATCTGAAGTGGTTAAATTCCAGGCAATTAGTCTAGATTCCCTACCCAAAACAATCACTGTAACTATATTGGGGCCAAACATGAAAAGCCATCTCTCCTACCCACCCTACACATACATTAGTGGATTATAAGAATACATGACCTAAATTCCTAGCTGGATTGAGGGCAGGCAAGAAACCTTGAATGAACAAACTGTCTACCTAAATCCCAAGAAATTGAGATTTCTCAGTGGTAGAGAAGTTGGAATGAAAGCAAGATAAATCAGCAAATATTAACAGGTTCCAATAAAAATACTGTATAACAGAAGGGGGCGGTGGGAGATGACACCAAAATATTCATAGTAATATCTGATGAGATTCTCTAGAGAAAAATACAGCTCTTACTTCTGAAACCAAATAAAATGGAAAATGAAGCTAACTTTCTGTACCAAAAGAAAGGGGAGAAAAGGAATGAAAAGTTAATTAACTTCTTTCTTTATAGAGATTAGGCAGAATAGGAAATGAATAAAACAGAAGCAGTCAAACAATTAGAACTGAACAGGGTAGTGAAGGCCAGTTAATAAGACATAATCCTTTATGGATTACGACAATCAGTTTGGGATGCTAAGAGGCACATGCATTGCTTAGTTTCTTTTACTTACCTCATATGGTCATATTTCTTAAAAAGTGCATTGTATTCTACTGCCCTCTGCTGGAGTTCCACATCAATGCTGCTTCCATAGATGGAAACCACTTTCTTTATTCGGCTTTGGGATAAAATGACAAATGAATTCAAATATCCAAAAGAAAGTTCATGAACAAGCAGACAGAATAATGTTTAAACCAGAGTTTTCTGGTTAAAATTTTCAAATACCTTTTCTTAATTTACACAATCTTTCAAAAACAAAACATCTTTCCTTCATCTTCATTCATCAACATATACACAACATACATGAAGTGAAAACCATCACAATTAAAGTTACTCACAAAAACTCATAAAGAACCACACTGGCTTCCTTACTTATCCAGTGACCGGACTTTCAACAAAATCAACAACAAAACCAAGAAAAGTGACCCCTACGTCCAAAAGGAGCCAAAACCGGTTTGGCTCAGTGGTAGAGTGTCGGTCTGCGGACTGAAAGGTCCCAGGTTCGATTCCGGTCAAGGGCATGTACCTTGGTTGCGGGCACATCCCCGGTAGGGGGTGTGCAAGAGGCAGCTGGTCGATGTTTCTCTCTCATCAACATTTCTAACTCTCTCTCCCTCTCCCTTCCTATCTGTAAAAAATCAATAAAATATATTTTTTAAAAAGAAAGAAAAGTTCATTCTAAAAAAAAAAAAAAGAAAGAAAGAAAGAAAAAAGAAAAGTGAACCCTACATCCAAAAGGAGAAATTCTCTCACACAATCTCTTGGATCAACAAAGACCCAGAATTTGAATTCCTTTTGGGTGGGGGTGGGATGAAGAGGTTATACTTTTTCAGAAATAGCCTGGAATGTCTCTTCCCATCTGTCTGATACCCTTTTATAACTTGCCTTTAAGGGGGAAGGAAAGCCTTTGTTCACAGCTGCACTAACACTCCGGCCACAGTTAGCACCTTGTTTGTTTTGTGTTCTGGGCTAAAACTCCTTAAAAACAGTGCTACTCTTGCCGAGACCAGTTTGGCTCAATGGATAGAGCGTCGGCTTGGGGACTGAAGGGTCCCAGGTTTGATTCCGGTCAAGGGCATGTACTACCTTGGTTGCGGGCATATCCCCAGTAGGGTGTGTGCAAGAGGCAGCTGATTGATGACTCTCTCTCATCGATATTTCTAACTCTCTATCTCTCTCCCTTCCTCTCTGTACAAAATCAATTAAAAAAATATATATTTTTAAAAGTGCTCTTAAAAAAAATACACACACACACACACACACACACACACACACATATATACTCCAACACCATCATCTCTCTTCCTCTCTGAAATCAATAAAAAAAATCTAAAATAAAAAATAAAAAACAACTAAAAAACAAAACAAAATAGTAAACAGAAGAATTTTATTGCTTCTTGGCCTTTTGGCTAAGATCAAGTGTAAACAGCAGAATTTAAAGACTTAAACACCACAACCCTCATGATTTTCTTCCTTTCCAGACATCTCAAAATATTACAATAAAACAGAATCTTTATATGGGAAAATAACTTCTCAATTTGATATCAAGTCACAGTTAAAAATGAAAATGGGCATTAGAAATCTGATTTAAAAAACATCACAAGCTCAAAATAATCTATGATGGGGTGTGCAAAATATAGATGAAATAAGGAATAACCACGAAATGATGCTTGTTATTGTGGTGTAATAGGTATATGCAAATCATTTTATTATTCTCTCTTTGCTTGAAATATTCCATAATAGAATGTTTCAAAGGTTACAAAACATCCTGTTCACCCTATTTTTTCTCCATACTCACTTTACAGTACAGGTGAATCGAGTAGAAAGCTTCATAATGGCAGTGAGGGAATAACCTCGTGTCACAGAGGCAGACATATTAGAGATTAAGACACTTTCTAAAATATCCAACACTTCATCTTCTGTTACCTGGAGAAAAAAAAAAAAGGCAATGTACAATGAAATGTAAAAGTAATTATCAAAATTTGATATCAAGTCACAGGATGCCACCAGAAAGACAATCCTACCATCACTACCAAAGCTTCTAACACAATCTGTTCTTTGCCAGGATAACTGTCCAAACTGATCCATCAACCAGAAGCAAGTGGAAGGTATGTTTTAAAAAAAAATGTGGAAAATACCCATTGGGGGCTGAGAGGCATATTTAGCTGCAAGAGGCAGAAGTAGAGGAAGGGGGAAAAAGTTACATGGAGTTCAAATATTGTTGCCACAACTTCTCCTAAAAGCCATTGTTTAATGAGCAAATGGAAATATGAATATAGGTCTCATTTCTTCTTGTTTAAATCAACCAGAGAATAAGAGAAATAATATAATTCCCCCTGACAAAGTGGAGAGTGGATTTTAAAGTCTCAAAATGGCTCATTAAGTTCCACTTCAAAAACTGACAGGTTTCCCAATATAATTCCAGTATTATTTTTTTAAAGAGGTTTTCCAGGAATCAACCACAATTCCTCACTAAACACTGCCTGCTTATGATCAAAACTACTCTATTCCCCAACTATGACCAAGAGGAACAAGGGGTACCTGAATAGGCTCTTCCTCTTCACATTGGCCAGATATGAGAAGATCTCCATATTCACCTATACACCATGCAGCTACTTGTACCAAAGGTTGCTGTCAAAAGAAAGTCATCGTTTGTCAAAGATTTTAACCCTTAGAAAGATTAATGCAAATCATAGGTCATCTAATCATAAAGGTCAAGATTTAGGTACATCTAGAGCAGTGGTTCTCAACCTTACTAATGGTTGAGAACCACTAGCAGGGTCGCCTAAGACCACCGGAAAACACAGATATTTACATTATGATTCATAACAGTAGCAAAATTACAGTTATGAAGTAGCAACAAAAATAATGTTATGGTTGGGGGTCACCACAACATGAGGAACTGTATTAAAGGGTCTCAGCATTAGAAAGGTTGAGAACCACTGATCTAGAGTGTGAGTAATAAGAATATACAAGAAAAATAAAGGGTAATTTCCTCCCAAAGCAGAAAAAAAAATAAAAGGCAAACGAAGTACTTACTTGAGAATAATCACCGAGAATTGCTTTGTATAAGCGCTGGACAGTATAGGCATGCATCTCCACACTATTGGTTATTAACTGGATCAAGTTGGGGACTGCATCATCACGAACATAGCTTCCTGCCTAAAAGGAAATGCAGACAGTTACCCCTAGAAACACATAATGATGATAAACGTTAGCTATTATTATCGCTGTTAAAGGGAGACTACTAAAAAAAACATTCAAAGATAAAGTTGATTCCTATTTTCAGGTTCATAAACAGCTCAAACTTCAGTCTTACTTATTTAAATTAATATTCCAAGTTTTTTAATTTTATAAAAAAAAAATCTTCTCTTTGTCCATAGTAAAAGGAAAATATAAAGACTTAAAAATTTCAAGAAGTTACTAGCTACATAAAGAATAGGTAAATTTTACATTGTAGCCTTCACTGTTATAATTCAGTTCCTTTTTGATATTGGTACTTTAGCCTCTGAGCCTTTATCAAGCTCACACGCAACATTTGCCGAGACAGACCACATTCTGAGCCATAAAAAATACCTTAAATTTAAAAGAACAGAATTCATACAAAATTAAACTAGAAAGCAGTAACACAAAGATAGCTGAGAAATCCCCAAATAGTTTGAGATTAAACATGGTACTAAATAACACATGGGTCAAAGAAAACATCGAAAAAATTATTAAAAACACCAGTATGTTTTGATAAATATTTTTCTTAAACTAATCAAATGTGTGAATGTTTGTTTACCTTTATGATATCTACTTCTGATAACATAATTACACACAGTTAGTTATATTTCCTTTATATACCACTACACTTTCATTTTTTACTCTGACATCTCTTATCCCTATTAATCAAATAATAGAAAAATCTCCAAAATTTTGGACAACAAAGAAAAAATAGCTTATAAAACTGTAATCTTAAATCCAGAACAAATGTAGTCATTGAAACCTTCCATGGCTTCCTAACACATTCACAATAAAACCCAAACTCCTGTGAGGCCCCATTTAATCTTGCCCTGCATCAATGTCACCAATCTCTGCCTTCATTTGCCTTCTTGCTCTCCAAGTAGTCCAAGCTTATTGCTACCTAACGTCTTCGCTACCCCTGCTGCACTCTCAGATTAGTACACTTCTTTGCGTGGCTAATTTCACTAAGTTCTCTACTCAAAGGTTAGTTCTTCTGAGTGACCCGCCCTGGCTACCTAAAATACTTGGCCCACTGCCCCATCACCATAGTCCTCATGCTGTTTTAGTGTTTCTTGTAGCATTTTCCCCTGCCTGACAGTACAGTACGTATTTCCCCTGAATTTCCTATCTCCCCCACTAGCACATAAGCTTCATGAGAATAAGGGCTTTCTCTGCCTTAAACAGCACATTCGGCAGTTAGTACATGGTGACTTAAAAAAGCTACTTACCGTTGTCAGAACACGCATAATTGTGTCTATATGCCACCGTTTGGAAGGTGCATACCTAAAAAAATAATGGCACCAGGTGAAGAAATTGAAACCTGTAAATCATACTGTGCTCAGTGACTTTCAAAACTCCTGCCTATTATCGTTTAAGTGATTATATTTGGGGACATTTCACCTTCAAATCTAGCAGCAATACCCATTTCCCAGGGTGATGAAATGGTGCACTGTCAATTCAGATGGTCTACGTAGTATTGCAATAGGAGTTGCTGAGCTAAGAAAAGAGACTGTCTGAGAAAACAAAGTCAGGTAGGAGAGGATAGAGAAGAAGAAAAGGGACCGTTCCCATACCCAGACACACCAGAACTAGGAAATTGGTCCTTTAAATTCACAGTGGAAAGTGTAGAAATAACCGTACTACCAAAATCTTTAGGTATTTCTTCCTAAAAGTTTTACACACAGCCACAATTCAGATGCTGAAACATCTATATCCTCATAAAGAGGGCATCATGGATGACAGGTTAAAGAACAGATTATAAAAGGATTATAAATCCCAGGTTTTATAAAAGCGGGATTTTTTTTTTTTTTGGGGGGGGGGTGTCTTAGTATATTTAAATGCTGGCTATCATGGCCTCCTCAAAGTTAATTTCTAATTGGGAGCTTAAAATAACCATTACATGTTTTAAATATGTTTACAACATTCTTCTCATCTTTTAAAAATGCTTTTTAAAATTCCAAGCATTTTTTATCAATAAAGGTAAAAATTAAATCTTACTTTTCTGCAGCAAGAAAGATTCCAGATGCACAGTCGGCTTTAAATTCTGGCTCACAGGAATCCAGAAAATAAAGTAATTCCTTCATCATGCCTCGGATATTATTCCCATTTACTAGGGCAAAACTCAATTCCATTGCACGCCTTGCAGGGGAGAAATTATGAAACAAAACCAGAAAGAAACCAGTTATATTTACTGTGGGAATGAAACAAAAACCCAGGGATTTTCTCTCTGAACTCCAAGCACTAGGAGATGTGTTCCTGTTCTTGTATGATCTTGTAACCCTATCTTTGCACACAAGATAACAGTCGGACACTTAGCATATTAGGCTTTTATTATATAGGATGATGCAAATGTTAGCTGCATTATATAGCTATGATAACTGTTTTGCAATATACAACTGTTAAATTAATGCACTGTACACCTTAAATTTGCAGAATGTTATATGTCAATTATATCTCAATAAAGCTGGGGGGGAAACTGAAAGAGAGAATGAGGGCCATGAAAAGGAAAAAAGGGCATGTGCTATGAGGGCAAATAAAAGTTTTTATAACTGCCTATCAAATTTTCTAACCAAGGCAAAATAAAAATGTTTAACATATAAAAGTTATAAGGTTAATATAAACATCTTTTCATATTTGGTCAATAACATCAAACATGGTATATAGATTGATTTTCAAAAATATTAATTTAATAAGGAAAAATACTGTCATCTTAGCTAATTTATAAGCAATAAAAAACCAATCCTTATAGAAATACAATAACAGATAATTCTTATATAATGCTTAGGTACCTTATTTATACTAATTCAATTTATCCTATACAATCCTAGAAAATGGGTTCTCTTGTATGGAAATTTTACATATGGGACAACTGAAGCACTAAAAGGTTAAGTAACTAGACCACATCTATTTTGGGCAGAGGCAGGATTCAAAATAAGACAGTTTGGCAGTCAAGGAGATACAGATTTTACTTTTGAAATGCAAAGCCCAGTAACAAGCTATAGAAAAATAAAACAAAATAGGAATCAGAATGCCTGATTTCTATTCCCAGGTCTGCCCTTGAACAAGGGGTACGGTTTAGAGTAAGTAATTTGATTCCTTTTGGGACTATATTTTCACTAATCTGTTCATTGAGGATAGAAGTAATTGCCTAGTCTCACTGGCTTGCTCCGAGAATTGAGAGAGTGTTCACAGATCCTTTACTTTGCAAGAACTAAGTGAAAGTTGTTATTGCTGAGTCAGGATCTTATCTTTAGATTGTCCAAACATGTAGTACGTGTTCTCGGCAAACAAAAGAAACTTAATGTCAACAAATGTTTGTTATGTGAATAGTTTCAGAGATCATTTCAACTCTAATTTGTTCTGGATTTGAACATACAACCACAACTAAAAGTTCACTGGACCAACTATAGTGAGGTTTCATAAACATTTAAAATCCTTCTAAGAGGAGAACCAGTATAGCTATTCCATGGAGAGAAAAAAAAAATTAAAAAGTGCTATCTACCTCCTTCCTAACACCATTCCTAGATGCACTTTTCTAAAAAAAACACGGCTGCCTCTAGCATCGTGGGGCACAGTACTGTGAGGAAAAGTGTGCTGTCAGCAATTTGAGTTTCAGCATCGTGATAAAACACTTAGCCGATGGATCACTCTGTATTTTTCATCCTCCAGCACACAAAGCACAGTACTTCCATAAAGTAACCTTTTGCCAAGCCTATCTCTTTATCGGTTTTATTTATCAAAGAACCAACGACAACTTCATTGTGCACTGAAGCATTCCTTATTGGCCTCCTTTATTGACCTAACCTTCGCCCTGCCAATCCTTTCTAAAAAAGGATTGACTCTACAGGGAATTCACCTATGAAAATGAGCACAATACATAAAGGTCAACATTCTCACTTCTAAAACTATTACAAAGTTACCAGGTGGGGTGGAGGCAAAGAACTATCAATAATCTGTTACCGTTTTATTGAGACATCCAAATCTTTCAGACAGTCCACAATGGTGCTTCTGTGCCTCTGCACTGCATTATGATCTGTCTGCACAGTCTTCAACAAAGATGTCAGAGCTACATATCTGGATGAAACGAAGTTGCAGGAGAACAGAATTAAAATGTAAAATTCAGGGTGTGTTTTTTCTACCTAAAATAATGACAAAAAATGTCTAAAGACTAAGGGAAAGCACATATTTTAAACATGTAAAAGAAAGACAATAACTATAATGGTAACATTTTAAAGGCATAGAAGACACATTAAGGTAATGACAACCAGAAGAAGCCTTGGATTTAGAATATTTGCATTCATGGCCAAGTCCATTGCAACTTCTAAAAGTGACTGGTTCAATTATTTAAGTACTTCCAAAAAGTACAACAAAATAAGCAGATAATATGCCTTTTTGGGGCCTTAGCCCTAAAATGCAAAAGGAAATTATTTCAATTTTACCATCTGTATTTACTCTGCTTTTGAGACTCATACAAAATTTTGAGTATAACATCCAAGTATGAAAAATTCTTTTGGAAAAAGGAGGAGATAATTCAGGATATCACAATAATTATTTTCACTTTTTTTTTTTTTTTCAAGTTTAACAAGGTAAGAAATTTTTTTCTCCTGATTAAAAGAGGGAAAAAGGCAAACAAAATAAATTACAAAGGAAAGATAGTACTAATAAATTTATCTACTTTAAGTAGTCACCCTGGCCAGTGTGGCTCAGTTGGTTGGGTGTCGTCCTGTGTGCTAAAAGGTTGCTGGTTCAATTCCTAGTCAGAGTATATGCCCAGGTTGCATCCCTGGGAGGGGGCATGCAGGAGGCAGCTGACCAATGTTTCACTCTCACATTGATGTTTCTCTCTCTCCCTCCCCTTCTCTAAAAATCTTTTTAAAAAATACACACACACACACACACACACACACACAAATAAATGGAATTGATAAACACGTTCTATATTGGGTCAGTAAACTTCAAGCTACCTGCAAATATCCAGTCCTCTGCTGTCTGGTTTTATAAATCAATTTTTATCAGAACAGCAACATTCATCATTTATATGATCTATGACTGTTTTCATGCCAACAGGCACAGCTGGGTAATTGCCACAGAGACCAAAGGCCCACAGAGCCTAAAATATTGACCATTTGGTCCTTCACAGAAAAACTTTAATGATTCCTGATTTATAATATACAGAGGTGTAAAAATTAAGCCACGAGGCAAATCCTCAAATTCTTTATAAAACAATAGTTTTAAGACCAGACTAAAATAGAAATCCTGAGTTTCCTCAGCTGAAGTTCTAGATAAGTCACTTAATACATGTGTGATCTTGAGCAAAGTCACTCCTGAAAACAGACTTTATAATAACAAAATATAAGACATTTTTCAATTGCTTTACCTAATATTCTTGTCATTGTTCAATAAGAAACGACCCAGGATATTTATGGCTAGGACCTAAAGAAAAATAGCATAAGTTAAAAATCTAGAAAAATTAAAGATTTCTATTGTTTAAGGATCACTTCTGGCCTCTGGTGAGTGCAAACTATTTATAGAGGGTTGTTGGTATTTTATGGCCTGGAAAGACCAGAAAGTTCTGAAAATCAACAATGGTGTTTGTTGCACAACAATGTGAATGTACTTAATGCCACTGAACCACAGATTTTTTGTTGTTGTTAAACTGGTAAATTTTACGCTATATTCTAGCTTTTTTTTTTTTTTTTTAATGAAAATGAACTCTACACATGAATATAAAATAGCTTCAACATAACATTAAATGAAAAAAGTAAAGTGCAGAACGATATACACGATATGTTACCATTTCGTTTGAAAGGTGGGAAAAGGAAAAGAATTAGTCTAAGTTACTTTGGTTATTTAAATAATGTAATCTAAAAAGAACTATACACAGATATTATATTATAGTAAGTTTATTTCTTATAAGACTATCGATGAGTTATTCTTACATTAATAAATGATTGAAAGAATGAATAAAATAATGAGGGAGAATTCTTCCTCACAGAAGAATCCCAGTTATTTAATGAGGACAAAATGAGGGAAACAGAGAAGTGTCATTAGATCACCACCCTAACAACTGCTGCAGACAAGATCTTCTGAAGAATAAAATTGATAGGCAAAAGTCTGAGGAGAACAAGATATCTGCATCGTCTTAAAGCATCTCCCACAAAATATTTTTAATTACAAAGGGAAAAATAACTTTACAGTGGTAAGACACAGCAGACACCACCTTAATCAAATGATCAAAGATAATAGCACCAGTATCGAGACAAATAGATATAGCATGTACTTCTATGATAGTCTTACCAAAATGATATAACCTCAATCTATTATAATTATGATAAAGTATCAGACAGAGCCAAATTGGAGGTCGTTCTACAAAGTAACTGATCCGCCCAGCCAGTTTAGCTCAGTAGTTGAGCATAGTATGAACCAGGAGGTTAGGGTTCGATGCCCAGCCAGAGCACATGCCTGGGTTGCGGGCTAGATCCCCAGTGAGGGATGTGCAAGAGGCAGCTGATCAATGAGTTTCTCTTATCACTGATGTTTCTATCTCTCTCTCCCTCTCTGAAATCAATAAAAATATATTTTAAAATAAAAAGCAACTGATCAGTGCTCTTCAAAGTGTCAAAGTCATGAAAGAAAAGGAGAGAGAGAGAGGAACTGTCACAGATTGGTGGAGACTAAGGAGATGTGACAATGAAATGCAAAGTGGAAACACAGATTAGCTCCTGGAACAGGAAAAGGACATTAGTAGGAAAATTGGTGAAATCTAAATAAAGTCTATAATTTAGTTAATAGCAGGGTACCAATATTAATTTCTTAGTTTTGATAACTACATATAGTTATGCAAAATGTTACAGTACAGGAAGCTAAGTGAAGGGTATACAGAAACTCAACTGTTTCTGTAAGACTAAAATTATTTCAAGTAAAAAGATTTTAAAAGTGGGGAAGAGAAGAAATACACATATACAAACACATTTAAATGTTTTAAAAATCCCTGAAAAAATACATTATAAAATGGTAACAGTACTGCCCACTAGTAGAATTGAGAGTCATCACATGAAAACTACAGGCAGATGTTTTCTTCCCTATATATCTTCTGTACTGTTTGAGTTGTTTTACTGTATGTGTTTATTTCTATATAAAAGCAAATATTTAAGACATTCTTCCCAAAAGTTAATTTTCAAATAGAATTCATTTCCAAAGTGCTAAATCCAAATCAATTATTCTAGATGAAATGTTTAGGGAGAAGAAAATATATTAAAAGACTTACTCGCAGTCCACTCTCTGACTTAATATCCATGATAGTCAAAACTGTTTCATAAAGAATAGCATTTCCTACATTTTTACTAGTCTCTGTATTAGTGGCAACCTGAAAAGACACAGAGGGTGGTACACAATGATAAAACAATGCTTCCAAAAAATATCCAGAAGTAACAAGAGACATTTTGTGATTGATTATAGCCACCAATGAGGAAACACAAATAAAAATTGTCCATATAATCACAATCATTCCACTCCCTACTATACTAAGATGAACATTTAATATAAATATAAGGCAGGTTTGGCCTACTCACCTGTGCTAATATATCATTCATAGCTTCACTAGAGTCATCATCATTTCGTCCTAAAATTCTTAATAACCGTAAAATTCGTACCTAATGTGTAAAAATATGAGAAATGTCAACAAATTATGTCTGGAACAAAGAAACTTTTTGCTTGGTATGAAATTCAAGTATCTTTTTTTTTTTCTGGATGTTTCCTGCATGGTTTGCCTCCTCAGTCATCGTCCACAGGACTCTGAGAAGTCGTAGGAATATGCAGGCGCAGACTCAAGGCCCGGCTTTCTCTCCAACATTGTGGAAAGGGACTGTACATCATGGGGCAGAGCCCTATGCTCCCCTACGCCACTTGGACAGAGCCCAGGGAGAGTGACCTCCTGGGATATCCACGTTGGGGAAATTTAAGTATCTTAAATGAAGTCTTAGATCCCATTAGAAATGATAAAAATTCAAACAGAAGATTTTAAATACTATCTTCAGAGAAATGACATGTGTTTCTGTGTCTTAAGGAAATTATTAGACAACTACAGCTAAAGGATGCCACCACCTGCAGAGCTGCAATACAGGCATACCACGGAGACACTGAGGTTCAGTTCCAGATCACAGCAATAAAGTGAGCGGTAGCCTTTTTGCTGGTGTAAAAAATAAAATACAACATCTGCAAAGTGCAATAAAGCAAAGCATACTAAAACAAGTGTGCCTATAAACTGATGTCTCGATGTAGTACATAATTTTGATAACTATAATACCTTTCTATTAATTTTATAAAATACAGAATTTTGTCATTCATTTATTAATGTAATTAATCAGTTAACTATAAAATTCTACCTGACACAAAGAGGGAGGAAACGCTCTATTCAAAGCTATTAAACATAAACCATAAATCCAAAGCTTTCTTTCCAGCTCACCTGCAAAAAGGGGTCACTGATACCAGAAACATCATGTTCTGGTGAATATCCGGACATGATGAGGTTCTTTAGAATACGAACTAATTGGGGCACAAGCTGCAGGGAACAAAGACGCAAAAAACAGTGAACATCAAAGACTTTCTCATGAATAGGCAGGTAATTTGTCTTAAAAAAAGGGTACAAGGGTCTGGGTCCAAGCAAATGCTATTAATACAATATACTAGTATATTGTTGGTATTGGTTAAATATAACTTAGGAGGCTCTAGCCAGTTTGGCTCAGTGAATAGAGTGTCGGCCTGAGGACTGAAAGGTCCCAGGGTTTGATTCTGTTTCAAGGGCACATGCCTGGATTGCAGGCTCAATCCCCAGTAGGGGGCATGCAGGAGGCAGCCAATCAATGATTCTCATCATTGATGTTTTTATCTCTCTCTCTCCCTTCCTCTCTGAAATCAATAAAATTATATATATACACACATATATATGTGTGTGTATCTATATATATAATTTTAACAACTCAGAGTATTTTTACTAAGAATCTAAATTCAGATAAAATTAGACTTTTTAACTCCAGAGTTATATATGCAAAGATACTACAATAACAGAAAGTCAGAAAGCCTATAGGAAGTAAGTAAAACAGATGCCTATGAAGCATATTGCATTTCTACGTCAATAGATTGACATACTTAGGTGTGGCACAAACATGCTCAGTTTTTATCCATTCACAACATTTGGATATAGTGCTAGCTTCACATATACAAACATCTGAATATAAAATGGTATCATACCCAAAATACGGGTGACATTATTAAAATTATAGTTTTAAAATATACTATCTCAAATAGAGAAAAAAATGTTTTCTCTTCTTGAGATAAGCTAGTTATGTCTTTTTCCAACTAACAACAGAGAATATAAAAGCCTCCAACACTGACCAAGTGAAAAAAGATACACAAAAACTTGTATCTTTCACCTTAAGATGATGCCAAAGCCATGAATATCTAAACTCCTATAACAGCATTTTCAGTAAAATTAAATTTCAGCACCTAATTATACAGACTGATCTATGTTACTTGTTTTCCTATCTAATCTTACTAAGGAAACTTCCTTGTGGTCAAAATTCCCTTTTTGTCTTTCCTTTACTTTGTTCATTTAGTCATAACACAAAAAGAGGCAATTTTATTACCAAGCTGAATTAAAGATGCTTTAGATGTTATTATTAATTCCGTTCTGTTGATTAACCATTTAATGTTAAAACCCTAATCCAATGTTTGCCACAATAGGAACTTTTCCAGTCTCCAACTAAAAACTCAATTTAGCTATATAAATAACTTTAAATATCTAAAAGTTAACAAGTGTACACAGTGAAATGAATCACCTTTTCTTCTGAGGCAATAAGGACTGCCCCAATTTTGCTACAACTCAATTATTTTTTCTCATTGTATTTGAACTCTGTCTCCTCCCTACTCCCCAACTCTAAAAGGGAATCAAGATAAAAACAAAAGTCAAGAACGCCCAAGGTATACACTTAAAACATTTTCATAATCCTAAGGCCACTTCTAAATATAAGAGAGCATAATCTGTGTAAATTTAAATAAGCTTGGCTATAACACTTTAGAATTAAATGATTCATAAAGTTACCCACACAAAAATCTAATTTGGATGACTCTAAAATTAAAATAAATCTAAGCCACGAGAGAAGCCACATTAAATCTATCAACTGTGGGCAGATTTATATTAGAGGTAAAAATAATATAATTTTATACACTACTTTAAAATTAACATAATAAAATCAGGATTATCTAGTTAACAAGCTCTGTACAAAGTCTCGCCTTGCATACTTTCCAATGGCCTACTTTTGTGTACTACATAGCCCTAATTATTTTTTAATCTGGTTTAAATCTTGAAGAAGTCCTTTTTCCTTGCTTTATTCATTGCCAAAAGGCCAGCACACCACATTGGATCACTCTGGGACAAAAAAGCACAAATGTCTATATGTCCAGCATACTAATTCTTGGAACCCAGCTTTATTATTCAGACAAAAACACAAGTTGCTAAAACGAATGACAGGACAAACAAAAAGTAAGATGACAAAGGGAAAGGCTGCAGCCATGAAAATCGGTTGATGCCCACCTGCTCCAACTCAAAAATCCTTTTTATGTTCTAACACTTCTAGGCAAAATAAGTGCAGGAAGGGGGGAAATAAAAGCTCTAAGTCTGAACTGAAAGCTCAGAAATTCACACGAAGCTTTTTAAAAGTCTGAGGTTACCCACATATAGTTCTAAAATATCTACTTCAAAAAGAAGTAGTGTTTGTGTCAAGGCTCCAAACTGATCTGGAATTGCCATCACCAAAACCACTGGGAGACTGCTCAAGGTTTCTCAAGCAAAGATAAAGGAAAGGCAGAGAAGGAGGCTTACAATTCAGGAAAGGCTACAACTGAAATCCAAGGCTGACTTTGGAATCGAGTTTAAGTGACAAGACAAAAAACTGGACTAGGGAGTTAGCCAAAAATGCTAGAACAAGTAACTCACAGTGCTAAGCATAGCTTCAGCATTAGTATATTTTTAACAGCCACATTTGTGGATGGATACACAAAAGCTACTAAGAACCTAATGCCAGCATGCACCATCTAAAAGAGGGTTAATTCTTACCTTTTCATTCTAACATACAGCAGGATTCCAAACAGACAACAGGAACAAAACATACAAAGCAAGCATTAGGGACAGATACAGGTCTCATACTATTTTACAATAATTTAATCAAGACATAAACATCTAAGGGGATGAAAAGGGAAGGGAAAAAAAAAAAAAAGAACTGCTATTAGAACCTCATCAGATTTAAGTACAAAGTAAGCCCCACTTATGGTGTGATCAGCGCCCTATTAAAAAAAAAAAAAAAAAGTAAATGGATGTAACTCCAAGAACAGTCTTTCTCTGAGTCCTCCTTACTATTGCCTTCTAAAAGTCAGTGGAGAAAACAAACTTTCCACTTTAGAATGCTGTAGAAAGGGAGGAAAGGAGAGAGTTGACAAAGCTAGAGACTTCCATCACCGAAGTCAACAGCCTAAAATGAACAGTGGGGGACCCTGTATTCGGTAAAAGTTAATGTCACAGTTCAGTCTGCACGTTTCACCTTTTAAAAAAAATGAGATCACCTGCCTAAAAATAATAAACCACACAAACACATTCCTGTTTATATTCTGACCGCAGGTTACATTTTCTGACTTTAATGTGAAAACAGCAGATAAAGCACATGAGAAATTGGTGTGTCTGCTAACAATGAGTGAAGATTTCTATTATAAAGGTAAAAAATATTGAATTATTGCTAGTTCTTAATATGCCTAAATTTGGCTTCCAACCCTGAACACAGTGGCTCTGGTTAAATCCTTTATTCAGCTTCATAGTTTCCTTTCAAAAGAAAACTTCTAAGTGAGAACATCATGTACTTTTTAGAAAAATCATTTTCAGGAAAGACTTAGCATGTCGAATGGCACCTACCTTTCTGAAATGTGCAAGCATGTCTGGGCTTCGCTCACACATTTCTGTGAGGAGGACTACAGATGTGTGAAGGACACCTGAAAGAAACGAGCAAATGAAAACTAAAAATGAGGCTGCATGTATTAGTCAACTTTGTAGAACAGGAATTTGAGATCTGAAGGTCACTTTCAAAAGGATAGTTGCTACTTTTTGTTTTTTAATCTCCTGAAGAATCTAAGCATTAAGGTGAATACAAAGGAGGTATTTAATAGATCCTTAATGGTTAAGTCAGTCAAATTAGAATATTTTAAAGAATTACCTGACCAAAATAATTGCTTTCTAAAATATGACAACCAGTCCAGCCAGCCAGCGTGGCTCAGGGGTTGAGAGTTGACCTATGAACCAGAAGGGTCACGGTTCAATTTCAGTCGGGGCACATACCCAGGTTGAGGGCTCGATCCCCAGGGTAGGGCATACAGGAGGCAGCTGATCAATGATTTTTCTCTCATCATTGATGCTTCTATCTCTCTCCCCCTCACCCTTTCTCCCTGAAATCAATAAAGATATATTTTAAAAATGAAAAAATAACAACCAGTACAAGCGTCTCTCCATCTGAGAATATACATAAAGACATGCTCACAGTCAAAATAAGCTAGGTATCACCTGCTCCATACTTAATATGCTCTTAGCTGAGTTCTGATATACAATTCAAGAAGCAAACATCTTAATGAGAAGTTAAATTTCCAGATAAAATAAATCAGAACTTCAAAGTACAATCATTGTGGATGACAAGGTGAATTTGCTTGTTCCAGAATGAGTGGGGGGAAAAAAAATCACACAATAGTTTCCACTAACAAGTTCCCTAAACATTCATTTGTTTAACAAGTATTTTTTTGAGCCTTCTAGTTTTAGGATGGAATTAGTCAAATTAAATACACCCTACCAATTTTTTTTCTCTTTGCATTTAGGACAAACATTTTCTTTATTCAAAACTTGCTTCACTGACTTCAAAATAACAATAAAATGTTTGAGAAAGAATAGTTACATATTAATTCCTCTTAACTTTTATATAAACATATCTAGTATGCATTTCAAATTCCTGTTACAAATAACCTAAAAGAATTTTCACAAATCTTATACTCTTACCACAAAACAATAAAGAAATAATTTTTTCTCTAATATAAAGTAGCCAGGAAATCAAAGAACTTTACACATGAAAATCGAGGACAGCATCATTTGTATATTACAATGAATATTAGTAACTGAATACAGTACTTTTAGTATAATAAAAGAGGACCAGAAATGAAAAACGAATTTGCTATGAAGAAGTTAATCTTTAATTGTAAAACTAGGAAATGAGAGTGGAAGAGAGATTGGACTGATCAGCCCTCCCTGGAAAAGTGTCCAGCACAGCAGAAAGGCAACTCGACTGCACTGAGACAGAAGGCTGGCGCTGCCCAAAGCTTTTTCTCTTTCCCCTTCTCCTTCAGTACTTTACCAAATGCACCCAAATCACATTACCATGGTTTTTTTCATTCAATAAGTTTTTTGTTGCTGGTAAAAACATCTCCATAAGTTCAGGAACCTTCCTGATGACATGAACAGCACACAGTGCTGCCTATAAAAAAAATTAAAAAGACAAAAGATTTATTTCAATTAGGACAGGGCAACTAATCATATAAAGAACAACAACAAAAAGCCCTTATCAACTAGTTCACCTACTAGAAAAATAAAGAAGAAAAAAGATATCTGATTTATTAACAGGTTAGGGCTTTCTAATTTATATGTACCATTGCATCAATGTGAACTTCTAGCTCACCTGTCCCTCTATTCAAATACTGCAAAATAAGTAGATAAAATTTTTCTAAACTAGACCATGGTTAACATGAATTTACCAAGCAAGTTAAACATAACTTATGTGGCCTTTCAAAGTAAAAAATAAAAGTCTTCCATCTATGATAATCATTCCTGAGTAAGATGACCAAACAAGGATTTTATAAAAATATCATGCAACTGCAAAATACATACTGCAGATGCTTTAAATCTGCTGTTACTTCTCATAATACCTGTATCTTCCTCAATTCTCTCTCTGCTGACTGACATCAAGAAAATCATTTGAAAGACATTTAGCTAATCTCTCCCGCTGAAAAGACTGTCATAGCTTGTTTACTGGAATGAAAAGTACTTTCAGAGACTGATATTGGTTACCCCACAAACTAACCATATTTGTTGAAGTAGTATACTATATAAGTTTAGACACATGAACAAGAAAAGGTTTTTAACTAATTCTTCCCATGAGATAAAAGATCCCCCCCCCTAATTTACACTATTTAAGGAAATAATATACTTTCTGAACAAGAGCAGCCCACACATTCTTTAAGAGAAAGGACTGTATTTGGTTTGCACACATCATTAACAGTGTTTGATCCTGGAAAACAGATCTACACCTCTGCCTCACACCATTAATATAGAAAGGCATAGTAATGTGTCTTCACTTCTCGGAGTTCTACATTTTGTAACCTTTATTAAGGTTTTAGGGTTCGAACACAAAAAGTAACAATAAAATGTTTCCAACAATAAAAAAAAGCAGAGAATAAGATCATTGTCATACATTACTACTCCATTTAGACATATCAACTTTAGAAAGTGTGTTCTTTATCATTCCCTAATAATTATCTAGGTCCCAATGGAAGTGCACTTCCACAGATTTAAAAGCACTAGGACAAAGGCTAATTATTAGGATGGAAGTAAATTTATAAATATTGATTCATTATCACTTTAATACTGTTTAGAATCAGGTAATTTCGGAAGCAAATATGCCATCTAGGATATCCAGTTATGGTTGATTTATAAATAATTTCCCTGAAAAAGAGGAATTAAAAAAATTAAAGTGTTCACAATCACTTATCAACTGGAGAGTTAACTAGTAACAAAAAAAAAATCCCTCCAGCCGAAACTGGTTTGGCTCAGTGGATAGAGCGTCGGCCTGTGGATTGAAAGGTCCCAGGTTCGATTCCGGTCAAGGGCATGTACCTTGGTTGCGGGCACATCCCCAATGAGGGGTTTGCAAGAGGCAGCTGATCGATGATTCTCTCTCATCGATGTTTCTAACTCTCTATCCCTCTCTCTCTCTCTTTCTGTAAAAAATAAATAAAATATATTTTTTTAAAAACCTCCAAAATCAGTATAAAAATAGATTTTGATTTATAAATACCTGATTCATATATAATCTATCTACTGCACAGAGAAAGACTTGTTGTATATTAACATCAGAGGTTTCAAAAGTGAATAATTTGCTTTCTCATTTCCATCATAGTCCCTAACACTGACACAGACATTTGGTTTTACTCAGTTACCTTTTTTCTTAAGTAAGAGTTGGAGGTCTTCAGGAGTTTCTCTACCTCTCCTGCAAGATCTCTGCACATTTCCGAAGAGCCCATGCAGCCGAGGGTACACAGTGCTAGCCCCTGTACATACTGCGTGCTATGATTAAGATCACTGCAAAAGGAAAAAAAAAGTAGAAATGAAGGTGTTGTGTCTGGTGCTCCCCATGAAGAAGCTTCACAAGAAAAGGTTTTAACTAATTAAGACAGGGCAACCAACCTCATGGCCGATGTGGCTTAGTGATTAGAACATCGGCCCTCACACCAAAGGGTCTCTGGTTCCAGATCCAGTCAAGGGCACATACCTGGGTTGGATGTTCGGTTCCTGCCCCCTTGTGGGTGTATGCGGGAGGCAACCAATCAATGTGTGATGTCTCTCTCTTACATCCATGTTTCTCTCTCTCTTCCCCTCCCTCCCTTCTACTCTCTCTGAAAAAGCAATAGAAAAATATCCTCAGGTGAGAATTAACAAAAAGCAGCTTCACAATCTACCAGTAAAGAGGTAGCTCTATATAATTCATGATTAAAAATATCAAACTTTATTGATAGGTTTCAGATTCTACATTATAATTAACCCTTAAGAAACTACCACTTGTGTAGTTTTGGTATAGTATTAAAGACTATCCGTAGTTATTTGAAAGGTTATTAACATCATCTTCCTTTTTCTAACTACATTACCTATAAAAGGCTGAATCTTCATATATTTCAATTAAAACATATCACAAGAACCCTAGCCAGTTTGGCTCAGTGGATAAAGCATCGACCCGCCAATTGAAGGACTGCAGGTTTAATTTCAGTTAAGGGAATATACCTGGGTTGAAGGTTTGATCCCCAGCCCCAATTGGGGCACATGCGGGAGGCAACCAATGTGCCTCTACCATTGATGTTTCTCTCCCTCTCTCCCCTTCCCTCCCCCTCTCTAAAAATCAATGGAAAAAATATTCTCAGATGAGAATTAACGAAAACAAAAAACATACAAGAAACTGAAAACAGGAGCATCTTTTAGGCCAGATACTACAGAGATTTTTAAAAATGTAAAATAATGCCATTCTTCTCACTGAATTGTTCTTGTTATGAAAAAATATTTCTTTTCATTTAAAAATGTTATTTAACACATAACGGGTTCATAATGGCTCATTTTAAATAAACTAATAAATAGTTTCAGTCTTTATTGAAGACCAAAGAAAAGAAAAGAAGGCCAGGCTGCTCTCTCCACCAATTTGAATAGTTTAAGTTAAAATTACTGGTGAAATGAAGCTTACTAACCATGGCTTTAACATCTAGACTTCCAGTTGCTAAGAATATTTAATTGACTTTTCATTCATTTTATAGTAATTAATTTGCATAATGCAAGTTCTTAAAATATATCCAATTTTAAGGATTTAATGTCATATGAGTTTTCTAGGCCAATGAACAATGGGGTAAACATGCATTAAGGAACATAAAAACTGCTGATACACTACGATGTTCTACAACACAAACAAAGAGGGAGGGAAAAACACACCGAAAAGCAACCAGAAAAATCCCATTCATTATCAGGTTAAAAAAATAAACAAATGATCCAAAGTCCTTAATAAGAGCTTAGACTGCAAGTGCCATATCAATTTCTAACTATTAATAACTCTCCCTAAATTCACTTGGCATTTGGCTGGATCTCATTAAAATTAAACACAAAGATTTCTTTTTTGCCTATGTGCCTCATTCTTCAATTTTTACCAAGCTATACCTGAGTTTGGTATTAACTCTCTAATAAGGCAGAACTGCCAAATTATCAGCATGTGATTGAAGGCTTGGGTAATAAGGGCAACAGAGCATGAAAGAACAAAAATTTAAGAAACTCTCAATGGCCTGAACAGAGTAAATGTATAAAAGAGTCATGCTGAAATACTAGAATGTAACCTCCATGATACCAAGAATCTGTTCCATTTCTTAAATTCTCCATCCCCACAGCTTACAACAGCTCCTCGTATGCAACAGGTATGCAATAAATATTGGTTGAATAAATGAATCAACTTAGAATTTTCATTATTAATATTTATTTCAAGACAAAAAACAAGATTCTCCCAAAATTAAGTTCACAGACTCAATATATTTACATGATACATGCAATATTTAGAATCAAATCATTAATTCTTATTTTGGAATTTTTCATTGTCCATTGAGAAATTGTTTTTTTAATACATTTTTATTTATTTCAGAGAGGAAGGGAGACGGAGAGAGAGAAACATCAATGATGACAGAGAATCATTAATCGGCTGCCTCCTGCATGCCCTACACTGGGGATCAAGCCCCTAACTTGGGCTTTGCCCCGACTGGGAATCGAACCATGACCTCATAGGTCGACGCTCAACCACTGAGCTATGGCAGCTAGATGTCCATTGGGAAATTTTAAAGTAGAACATTATTTTTCACAGAAAATTGTAAGAGTCCAGTATTTATAAATTTGATCATCTATATCCCCCAATTCTATTGTATGTCAAATATACAAATACTGCAATATAATAGAAATCTAAAAAAGGAGATTAAACATATTAAAACAATCCAAAAAGTTCTTTTAACCAATAGCCCATCAGAACTTCTATGGGTTTCTAACAGAAATTTGTTATAAGAGAAATGCTGGAAAGAACTGCTAAATTCCCTGCTTGGGTCCTCTAATTTCTTCATAATGGCAAGCATTCCTCAGTTTGTAAGTTAAACAAATATAACTGGACTAGTAAATCAGTAAAGCACCCATTTTAAAAAAATGACTTATACACAAATATTCATAGGGCTACATATAATTCCACAAAATGGATATCTTGGATTAGACCACAGATAAAATTTCTAATTTTAAGTAATGTTTATTTAGAATATAAACTGATAATTCTTTAATAAATGTAACATGTTCATTATTCATATTATTCCAAGTACTAGAAATAGAAGATAAGAAAGCTCAGATTTACCAATGTCTTTTCTATTCTATGAGGGCCCAAATGTTATTTCATTGCTAAATTGTGCTCTTATACCTGAAGATGTATAGCAATACTTTTATTTAATCAAATTATCTCCTAAGGAAGTTTTAAGCCTTTGCTAAGTCTCTTTACATATAAGCTACAAAACCAAAGCAATTGAAATATATTCTAGAGGATAAATATAAAACCAGTAAATAGCCAAAGCTGGTTTGGCTCAATGGTAGAGTCTCGGTTTGCGGACTGAAAGGTCTCAGGTTCGATTCCGATCAAGAGCATGTACATTGGTTGCGGGTACATCCCCGGTGGGGGTTGTGCAAGAGGCAGCTGGTCGATGTTTCTTTCTCATTGACGTTTCTAGCTCTCTATCTCTCTCCCTCCCGGTCTGTAAAAAAATCAATAATATATATATATATATTTTTTTTAAAAAGCAATAAAAAAAAAAAAAAACAGTAAATAGAAGATGTCAAGATTTACTGGTATATTATAGGAAAAACCTAAAATCACAAAGTAGTCCCTAGAAGGAAATGTTAAGACTTACTTCTTACTCATGAACACAGATGACAGTGTGCTGATTTAGAGGGGAAGAGAGTGGGGGTAGAAGAGAGTATAGGGGGGATAAATGGTAATGGGAAAAAATGAAAGAAAAAAAATCCTATATAATAAAATCCCAGCAACTGAATAGAGAATCAGAACCGGTCAACTAGTCACTACGACGTCTAGTCGCATGCGTCGTAGTGACTAGTTGACCGGTTCTGACACCTGGTGGTCAGTGTGCTCCCACAGTGGGAGAGCTACTTGGCTGACTGGAATGAGTGGGCTGCACCTGCAGCGGGAGCAGCCACTTAGCTGACCAAGATGAGCAATGCTCCCACAGAGGCCAATCCCCGCAGGCCATGCCCCCCACTAGTGCACAAATCCGTAAACCGGGCATCTAGTCTAGTATATATATAAAGAGACAATAAAGTATGACAAGGCAAAGTAAGATTAATACCAAATAAATTAATCAATTCTATAACTTTAAAAAAAAAAAAAACTTACTTTTTGATACAGTTGGTCATGAGAAGATGGACATCTTGTCTTTCATCTAATAACAGCATTGCCCCTAAATAGCCAATGCGTTTGTCTGTGAATTTTTGAGAGGCAATAAGCTTGAGGCACTCCAACTGCAAATTAAAAAAAAGAAAGAAATTAAGAAATTGCTGCCACAATCAGGAAATGTTTTTAACCCAGATTAAAGTAAATAGATATAACCAGTATCATCAAACCATCTAAATGACAAAGATTCAGGATCTTCGGGTAGCTAGCTTAATAGTAAGCAAGTCTTAAAACAGATCATCTTGTCAAGGTTCTATGACAAGCTTACCTTAGTTCTACAGATTCATGCAAAAGTATTATAAGGTATTAACACATTTCAGACGAGGAGCTTTATTGCTGGCTTTACCCAATGGCCAAATAAAGTTTCTATTGAACAAGTACAAAAAACGTTTTACATAAATGTTAAAGGCACTCTTTAAAATCAAATACCCATTGCATTCTAAAGTTATTTATTACATGTTCTTACAAGTTACTATCTTTTAAAATATGATACTTTGTAAAACACTGTGTAATGTGAACCAAGAATTCGCTTGATCTGTTCATAATGTGTTAATAAACCCAATTCCTAATTTAATCCCCAGGTTACTAAAAGAGTACTTAACCCATTTAAAGTCTGATTCCTATTTTGAATATCAAAAAATTCAAAAACTAGAAATACATCAGAGTGCCAAAGACTGCTGCCCTGCACATCAGGAATGTACAACTGCAGAGAAGACAGAAAATAACTAAATTTAATATAATGTTGAAAGTGCTACAGTACAGCCCTAGCCTTTTTGGCTCAGTGGATAGAACGTCAGCCTGTGGACAGAAAGGTCCCAGGTTCGATTTCTGTCAAGGGTACATGCTAGAGTTGTGGGCACTATCCCCAGTGAGGGACTTATAGGAAGCAAGCTATTGATATATTCTCACCACTGATGTTTTTCTCTCTCTCTTCCTCCCTGAAATCAATAAAAAAAAATTTTTTTTAAAGAAAGTGCTACATTAAGGGCTTAAGCCAATACTGTGGGAGAAATAAAAGAGTTTAAGAATCAAATATAGAAGGAGGAAAAAAAGCCAGAGGAAAACTCAGTAGTGTATTAACCTAAAATTTTTATATGCTTTTTTTCTTTATATAATTGTTAGAAATACTCAGAGTTTAAGAATCTTTGTTAAACAGTTTGTTACTACTTAGTTTTTCTTGAATGTTACAATCACTGTGCTGTATTTTATCATTCCATCTTGACATGGAAAAGGTCAAACATACCCCTCTAAAGGAGTAATTTTCAAAGGGTGTACACAGTTAAGACTCCCAAGAGTTTTTCAAACTATGCTCCCATTTAGAATCACCACATTCGCAAAGGAAGGGGCACAAATACAGACCCATGTACACAGGAATCTAAGATCCGTGAGACTACTTCCTGCCTGAATTTGCCTATAAGTTCAAAAGTAAAATAGAGGAAAGTAAAAGTTCACAAATAAAATTGTCTCGAGTTGTTTAGAAATTGTTTTCTTAACGTACCTGCATTAAAAAACACCTAAAGGTAGCAGAAACTATCATGAGCAAGTCAAAGAAGAGGGAACCATCAGGATCAAAAACAAAAATGTCTCCTGAGATCGACAAAAATTAGGTAAAAACCATTATCTCTCCCCTATACATTCAAGTTAAATTTTTTTTTTAATTTCAGAAATAGAAGATGATGAAAAGTCATTTTTACAATGTCAGGAGAAAAATTACTGAGGTGAATGAGAAAAACAGAAGCTAAAACATTATTAGAAAAATCTTAACTCTTTCAAACTGAAGGTTTTTAAATCTTGCCTTTAGTAAGACTAAATAAATATTTTAGAGGAGAAAGGAAATGTTTTTAGAATCAGGTAACACTGAAATTTTTATCATATTTACTGAATCATGCTTCTGACAAAAAAAGGCATTACACAATAAATTATCCAAAAATATCTTATTAAGATAAACTAATGAGAAAGACATTAACATTACTTTGTATTTTTTTAAGACCCAAGTTTTAAATTAGTCACACTAAAAGTCACCAGTGACTGGTGAGTAGAATTTGTTGTTTTTGTGATATTTTATTTAAAATTTACCTAAAAAGTAAACAGCAAAAAAGATAAACTAAAATTTAAAAGAACCAATACTAAATTAATTCTTTTTTAATATTCTCAATGGTACAGTGATTTTGCTTTAAGACCAAGAATTTATTTTTTTAAAGGTGACAAATTTTAGGGGAAACATAAGATTATACAGCTGCAAATGGCACTTGAAATACATCCTCCAATGAAAGATTAACCCAGATCACACTTCACATTTAGGTGGAGGTAACTAGCAGCAGTGCTGAGGATGTACCATGTTTTATCAGGAATGTTATCAAAGTTTTCACATATTGAAAAAGAAAAAGGTTGGAGGGCAGTACAATGGGATGTGGAAGGGAGGATATCCAACAATCACTAAAACACAACTCAACTTTCTGTGTGAGCTACTCAAGAAAAATAGTAATCAAGTAAATGTATCACTCCTTAGGTAATAATCTCAAATTCATCCAGTAGTATTACTCCTCACTGAAGGCTACTTGAAATCCCAGGAGAAACACTGCTAACCCACAAATCTAGCAAATACTTTAAGATCCCAGTAAACAGCCCAGCTTTTATATTCACACCAGAAAATTTTTGCTTTTACCTGTGAGCAAAGTCAAAAGACAAATGACAAACTTGGAAAAAATATTAATTCACAGTCATAAAATCCTATGTAATAAGATCCTGTAAATTGATTTTTTTTAAAAGACCAATAACTCAAGCCAAAACCGGTTTGGCTCAGTGGTAGAGCATCGGCCTGCGGACTGAAAGGTCCCAGTTCGATTCCGGTCAAGGGCATGTACCTTGGTTGTAGGCACATCCCCGGTAGGGGGTGTGCAAGAGGCATCTGATCGATGATTCTCTCTCATCGATGTTTCTAACTCTCTATCCCTCTCTCTTCCTCTCTATAAAAAAATCAATAAAATATTTTTTTTAAAAAAAGACCAACAACTCAATATAAAATGGACCAAAAATATGAACAATTCAAAGAAAACAAAAATAATTCAAACATGAAATGGAGTTCAATATCTTCATAGAACAAACGCAAACCCAACTAGAGTTTTACTAAAAGAAAAAAAAATTATTGAATTGTACACTTAATAAAAAGTGATTATACGATATATAAAAATGCCTTAGTGGGCTGGCTAGCATAGCTCAGTTATTGGGCATCAACCTATGAACCAGGAAATCACAGTTTGATTCCCGGTCAGGCCATTTGTGCAGGTTGAGAACTCAATCCCCAGTGTGGGGCATGCAGGAAGCAGCTAATCAATGATTCTCTCTCACCATTGATGTTTCTCTCTCTCTCTCCCTCTCCCTTCCTCTCTGAAATCAATAAAAAACATATATTTTTAAATGCCTTAATGAAATTATCACAAAAAAAGAAATGCAAATCAAATCCATACTGAGATACTTTTAACCTACTGTATTAATAAAGATAAAAAATTGTCACAATAGTGCAAGGGCATTAATGGCAGGAATATAAACTGGCCCAAACTGTAATAAGAAAGATCTGGCCTATCTAAATACACATAGCCTTTAACTCAACAACTGCCCTTTTAGAAACTGATACTACAATTCATTCACACGTGTAAAATAATGGATATTATTCAACAGTAGTATTATTTTAAATAGTAAGATTAGAAATAAATGTCCATGAATAAGGCATTCATTTAACAAACTATGATTCATACATATAAGCTGGATATACTATCACAAGCATGTCAAAACAACTGGGAAAAAAGAATGAGAAAGCTTCTTATATGTTCACTGGAGGCCAGGTGCACAAAATTCGTGCACAGGAGGAGGAGAAAAGGGAGGGAGAGAGTCTCTCAGCCCAGCCTGCATCCTCTTGCAACCCGGAACCTAAACCAGCAGTCAACATCGTTCTCGCAATTCATAATGCTGCATGCACCAGTGATCATACTTTTTATACGGTGAAAGGCATCTTGCTATTGTATGGGCAGCTACATTTTTTTGCCCTGATGATAAAAAGTAGTACATAACATGATCCTTCTGAGGCAGTATAACATTTTCCCCATCTTATGATGGGTGAGAAAACTGAAGCAGAGTGCCCATCATAGCAACCAGTCTTCTGCTGTTTGGTCTATTTGCATATTAGAGTTTTATTATATAGGAAATGAGCTAATCTTCATGACATTAATAAAACAGTGCAGGCTGAAACCGGTTTGGCTCAGTGGATAGAGCAACAGCCTGTGGACTGAAAGGTCCCAGGTTTGATTCTGGTCAAGGGCATGTATTATACCTTGGTTGCGGGCACATCCCCAGGAGGGGGTGTGCTAGAGGCAACTAATCGATGATTCTCTCTCATCAATGGTTCTAACTCACTCTCACTCTCTCTCTCTTCCTCTCTGTAAAAAAATCAATAAAATATATTTTTAAAGTTATTTTTAAAAAATAATAAAAAAATAAATAAAACAGTATGTGACAGTATGTATTTTAAATGGGAGGGGGTGAGAACATATATATCCATTGTCTGAAGATATATAAAATATCTGTGGAAGAGGAGCCAAGAAATGGATGCCAACAAATGCCTAGAAAGAGGGATACTAACCCTAGCTGGGTGTTGCTAAATGGTTAGAGCATCAGCTCTGTCAAGGGCATGTACTTGGCTTGCAGGCATCATCCCAGGCCTGATGGAGGCAGCCTGCCCCTCCCTCCCTTCCTCCCTCCCTCTCTCTTTCTCTCTCTCTTTATCTCTCTCTCTCTCTCTCTTCCCCTTCTCTCTTCCCTACCCTGCCCATCCACTCAATCTAAAAATCAATGGAAAAAAATATCCTCAGGTGAGGATTAACACAAAGAGAGAGAGAGAGAGAGAGAGAGAGAGAGAGAGAGAGAGAGAGAAACTAAGTGATTAGAAGAAAGTAGATAGCAGTTTTCATCACATATCCTTTTGTATCTTAAATTTTGCATCAGTGAACTATCAGTATCAATTCCAAAGAGATAAATAAATTTGGACTAGAAGGGAAAAAATTTAAAACTGCAG